CATTGACGTGTCATGTTAGAGTCATGTTAATAAGTTTCGTCATTTAACATTAGTAGCACATGTTATATTCAATTTCCGTCACTCATTTCATTTGCAGCGCCGTCCTTACAATGGAATCAGGACTACGGCTATGGCTCAGCTTACAAAGGCATCGACATCAAAAGTGATGGACAGAACCTTCACATTACAAAACCTGGCCTTTATCACGTCTACTCCTTCTTCACGTTCAAAACTCACCAACCACGTCAACATCCTGACAACGTCTTACATACCATCAGAAGAAGCAACGCCCATCTGCCGAATATGGGGCGCACTGTTCTTCTCATGGCCAAGAAGACCTTACCGGAAGCCAGCGAGAGGTTCGTCACGAGTTATCTGTCCGCTACAGTCAGACTGAGGCAGGATGATCACGTGTCTGTCACTGTCAGCAACATGTCACATGTCTACCGATATCCGCCATCAAATTTCTTTGGCTTGTACTACGTAGGGGAGTGAACTGCCAGCGGCACTTTAGATTAGGGTGTCTGGTATTTGCAGTGTTTTTAAGAATTAGGTTGATCTGGTGTGAAACAATCTATATGCATTTTGGAAAAGGAATCATCTAGACAGGACTCGTGGACTAAATTACAGTACATTGACACAAAAGAAGTAAAGAATAATGCGTGAGAGAGTTGGGTTTACCGCCTCTCTTAACAGTATTCCAGTTGTGTCACATCAGTGAGGTTAGGTGAAATTGGGTTTAACGTCGCGTCCAAGATTATTGCACTTATATAGCGACGTGCATGTGCGTGTTTGTGTGGCTGCTTGTACTAGTCCGGACTGATGCCGGTTTATAGTGCCAGCTCACTGAGATACCATGCCGCAGTTTAACATGAATACCCAACTCAGACACAGTATACTGACTCCGAGCCGGCCAGTCCTTGTTTTAGCCCCTTTTATGCCGAGCGCCAGACAGGGTAGCAACAAGTACAATCTTTTAACGTCTTTTGGTATGACGCGGCCGGGGATCGAACCCTGGACTTTCCGCTCTCGGGCGGACGCTCTACCACTAGACCACGGAGGCGGTAGTGTCAGTGAAAGCACATCATTTGACACTATTTTCCTGGTTCTATTCAATCAGTCAACCATTACCTTAATCTGTATGAAGGCCATAGGCCTATATACAAATAACAGTTTACAAGTATGGTAGGGGCAATATACATATTCATAATTGCAAACATTGTTTAAAAAATACTTTCTCTTTTCATACGCATGATAGACAAACAGACCGTGATTTTATTTTTTCTGTATCGTTGTGGAAAGTATCCTTTTAACTTTATGCATATTTACATTAGTTATACATGTCTTTGGTAGATATTTACTTCTAATAGCATCAAAAGTGGCGCAAACAAGTAGAAAATGATATTCGTCCTCTCCGACTCGATCACACTAAGGACAGTTTCTCATGCATACATCGATGTTTTTTGCCACCTACCTTCATTATTTCTCAACCGTAATAGTCCCCGTCTAAACATAAGTAAAATATTTCGAAGCTTTAATTCGCTAACAATTTTTTATATTCTCTATAAAGGTTATATAGAGGAACTGTTATTAATAGTAAATATCCAATTTTGATGAAACATATTAATAGCGAAATATTTCAATATACTTATCAAACGTTTCTCCAACTGTTTGTGACAGCCTAACAAAACCAAAACCATGAGAAAATAGTAGATTGGCAATATTTGAAGCCCAATTTTAATACCCTACATTATCTAAATAAAGTAACATGTTGTACTCTTTTTTTCTATTCTAAACAAAACAAGGAAATAATATTGGTATTGTAAGGTGAGGTGAGGTGAAATGGGGTTTAACGTCGCGTCCAAGATTATTGCACTTATAAAGCGACGTGCATGCACGTGTGTGTGTGTGTTTGTGTAGCTGCTTGTACTTGTCCGGACTGATGCCGATTTATAGTGCTGAGATACCATGCCGCAGTTTAACATGAATACCCCACTCAGACACAGTATACTGACTCCGAGCCGACCAGTCCTTGTTTTAGCCTCCTTAATGCAAAGCGCCAGACAACGTCTCCGGGCGGACGCACTACCACTAGACCACGGAGGCGGTCTTGGTATTATAAGGTGACTTCTACATGCAAGCCTGTTTGGTCTACATCCATTCCAGCCCGACCAGACATTATATTTGATACAGCTGGAAAATACCACTCATTCATTCGTTTCAACAAAGGTCTTCCCTTTCACCATCCTCGGTTAATCAGGATATTATATCTCCATTCTATCATATGTACCCTGGACCATACGCCACCATAACAGGACATGTCATTCATGAGTGAAGTATGATTGAACGACTTTTTTTAGGCGTCGTGTTATTTGAATGGGGCTCCAAACGAAGTTCGTTTCAACAAAGCTCGTCTCTTTCACCATCCTCGGTTAATCAGGATAATATATCTCCATTCTATCACATGAACCCTGGACCATACGCCGCCATTACACCAAGTGTCACTGATATATGTGATTGGACGACTATTTCAAGCATCGTGTTATTTGAATCGGGCTCCCAACGAAGTCATGGTGGCGAATGGGTTTATGGTTTGTATCGTAATAGAATGGCGATATGTTACACTGAATAATAGAGGTTGCTGTGATGCAAGTCATCCATTATTCGTCAAAGCAAAATACATACATGGGCGGATGCATGCTTATTACAGAATGTATATGTACATGTATGCTAAAGACACAAATGGAATGGGGACAAACAAGAAATTCTGTACAACTCGTTTATCTTAGTCTCACAAAACTTGTGACAAGTAAACCATGATGTAAGGATTATTAGGAAAACGGTGCTTAAATATATATTGTGTAAATTTCATTTTAGTCTTCGCACCAAAATTTGGACATGTTTGTATAGTGTCAAATATGAGATCATTGATAAACGAGTCAGGCTTTTACAACTGGAAATTGTATTGTGACAGTTTCTTCACAGCTTCAAGACAAATAATTTATGCGGAGTTTGTGACAGATGGTGAAAGATAAATGAAATAAACTGAAAATATAATTTTCAATTCATTAGCAGTGTTCCAATTAACACGTAAAGCAGAGGTCAACCCGGGCCGCATTTCAATCATTTTACATTACAAAGTCAAGGGATCTGATTTTGAATGCCTTGTATAACGGATGTCATGTAGATTGCTATTCATGTTGATTCTTGCAGTGCAGTGGGTTTCACCAAAACTAGCAAACGTCTTCGGGCATGTCGTCATATAATTTCGCTAGCTCCGATCGCTCGCTCACTCGTTCACTCCTTCATTGAACTCGTGAAGATATGTCATGATTAGACTAGGTCTTCAGCAACCATGCTTGCCGTAAAAGGCGACTGACGGTATCAGGTGGTCAGGCTCGCTGACTTGGTTGATGCATGACTTCGTATCCGATGATCGATCCTCCTGATGTCAGTCTTTGGATTGTCTGGTCTAGACCCGAATATTTACCGACCGCCGAATAATAGCTGGTTAAACAAGAAACACTCCTTCACTCATTAATTCAATTCGAATCAGCCTAACCCTTCTTTTTCAAATAATGCCAAGTTACATCAATACACTGTTATGAAATTCTTGTTAGGCAACACAGTTATTTGTATATATGTATAGTGATAATTATTTACATATTGAGTGAGTGAGTGAGTTTGATTTTACGCCGCTTTTAGCACTATTCCAGCAATATCACGGCAGGGGACACCAGAAAATGGGCTTCACACATTGTACCCATGTCGGGAATCGAACCCGGGTCTTCGTCGTGACGAGCGAACACTTTAACCATAAGGCTACCTGACCGCCCCTGCATATAAAGAGCCACACATGACTCATTCAGGAAATCCTTGCAACGTGATGCGAGTGCATGACTTAACGTTTAGATCATTTCCTGGTGTTGATACATACATGTATTTGGAACGTCAAGTCGTGTGAAATATTCTATTGATAAACAAATGTGAAACCGGCATTATTATGTGCATTCATTTATTTCTATGTTCATTTCAAACATGTCACTCGGTTTGTCGATGTTGGTTGCCTCGATGAGTATTAACCGTTACAATAAGCGGTGGTTTACATCTGCGTGGTAAGAATATGTCTTCAGCAACCCATGATGGTCGTAAAAGGCGACTAAAGTGATCGGGTGGTCAGGCTCGCTGCCTTTGTTGATGCTCATGATATCAATCACTGGATTTTCTGGTCCAGACTCGATTATTTACAGACCGCCGTCATATAGCAGGAATATTGTTGGGTGCGGCGTTAAACAAAAAACCAAGAAAACACAGACTAACTGTTCCAATGAAAATGTGAATAGTTCGTTTCGTTCCGGTTCAGACTTTATGGGCATTGTCTCTTTGTAAATTATGGCAACTTCTATTTCAAGTGTGCCCATATTCCATAGTTTGGTAGCTTTCTGTTGGTTTTCTTTGGTAGGCCTGATGTTGCGTAACGCAGCAGTCATCTGCAGTAACAAGCTGTGCGTAGTTTCTATATGGACCTGGCAACCCATGCTTGCCGTAAAAGGCGACTATGCTTGTCGTAAGACGCGACTAACGGGATCGGGCGGTCAGGCTCGCTGGTTGATGCATGTCATCGGTGTACGGTGAAACACAATCAGACAGGTGACACACCTGAGCATCCCAATCCCTCACGACAAGCATTAAATACAATATTAAATGTCTGCATAATCCCCTTAGCTACCGTGTAGTCACCTTTAACTGATATTAGTTGAAGTCATAAGTGAGGTTAGGTCTGTTGGCATCGACTCAATAGCAATGTGCTCAAAGTCCAAATGAACGTGCTAAAGTCCACTGGTTATAAAACGACACCTATTTAGTTTGGATAGTTGATTTACAAAAAGCTGCAATGACCCAGAACTACCCGTCTCTCCACACTGATTTAATTATTCGTCACGCCGTCACTCGTCACTCGCCGTCGCCGTCACTCGTCACGCCGAAGACCTGGGTTCGATTCCCGACATGGGTACAATGTGTGAAACCAATTTCTGGTGTCCCCCGCTGTGATATTGCTGGAATATTGCTAAAAGCGGCGTAAAACCATACTCACTCACTCACTAATTATTTCCCAGAACTACTGCTCCCGGTTATAACCCGAGAAAGTTCACATTGAAAGACGAACTTAGAATATGCAAGGAAATACCCTTCATTGTCACATAAGGTTTCACGAGGGTGGGGAAGATTTTCCGAATAGGCCAAATAACAGAACAACCATTGGTTTCTCATCAGTTTTCTTAATTTTCTTTAAAAACCCTCCTTTTTTATTTCGATTTTCATCAACAAGACAAAGGTAGGTTTATGTGTCTATTGTTCAAGGTGTGGTCACGGTCCACAAGAACAATTTATGACCGGAGAACCATTCGAAAAAGGTGGACGAATGAGGTGAGGTGAGGTGAATTGGGGTTTAACGTCGCGTCCAAGATTATTGCACTTATATAGCGACGTGTGTGTGTGTGTGTGGCTGCTTGTACTAGACCGGACTGATGCCGATTTAAAGTGCTAGCTCACTGAGATACCATGCCGCATTTTAACATGAATACCCCACTCAGACACAGTATACTGACTCCGAGCCGACCAGTCCTTGTTTTAGCCCCTAAATGCCGAGCGCCAGAGGTGAGGTGAGGTGAGGTGAGGTGAAACTGGGTTAAACGTCGCGCCCAAGATTATTGCACTTATATAGCGACGTGCATGCACGTGTATGTGTGTGTGTGGCTGCTTGTACTAGACCGGACTGATGCCGATTTATAGTGCTAGCTCACTGATGTACCATGCCGCAGTTTAACATGAATACCCCACTCAGACACAGTATACTGACTCCGAGCCGACCAGTCCTTATTTTAGCTCCTTAATGCCGAGCGCCAGACATGGTAACAACAAGTACCATCTTTTAACGTCTTTTGGTATGACGCGGCCGGGGATCGAACTCCGGACCTTCCGCTCTCTCTGGGCGGACGCTCTACCACTAGACCACGGAGGCGGTCGGTGGATGAATGAAAAACAGAAGCATGCTGTGGCTTGCCCTTGTTTAATTAAAGGTTGCGTGTTTAGCGCAAAATAGCTCTTTGATGACAGAAGCCTGAAAACAAGCCCTTGATTCTAGAGTGAGTGGTTGGTTGGTTTGTTGTTTAACGCCGCACTCAGCAATATTCCAGCTATATGACGGCGGTCTGTAAATAATCGAGTCTGGACCAGACAATCCAGTGACTGATATCATGAGCATCGATCCACGCAATTGGGATCGATGACATGCATCAACCAAGTCAGTGAGCCTGACCACCCGATCCCGTTAGTCGCCTTTTACGACAAGCATAGTCACCTTTTACGGCAAGCATGGGTTGCTGAAGACCTATTCTACCCCGGAATCTTCACGGGTCGAAAATGATGTATATGACGTCATAATAGTGCCCGTCATATGTTCGAGTAAAAGTAGCGGGCGGTCGGGTAGCCTAGAGATTAAAGCGTTCGCTCGTCATGCTGAAGATCCGGGTTCGATTCCCCACATGGGCACGATGTGTGAAGCCCACTTCTAATGTCCCCCGCCGTGATATTGCTGGAATATTGCTGAAAGCGGCGTAAAACCATACTCACTCACTCACTCGAGTAAAGTATTACCGTGTAATAAAACTGCTTTAGCTTAGACAGCGTCATACTTTATTTAAAGGATGGTGTCAGTGAAACCCACACAAAACATTAGACTAACCAGTTTATTTAATCATGGTAGAATGGAGATAAACAAACTCCGTTTAGCGTTATTAAATATAAAGGTAAGCAAGTTTTTCATTGAAAACACAGTATTTTTTTATCTCCTAATCATTAAAACAATTTTATCATTTTTCAAGCTACATGTATAATTAGTGATATTTTAAGGGTTATACAATGACTCATTCCGGAAATTCGTATACCATGATCAGTAAAACGACGATCTATTTGTGTGCACGGCTTCAAGTTTAGATCATGTCCTGGTAATTTAGATACACAGATGAATCTAGAGTTTCGATGCCGTGTGAAATATCATTTAAAAAGACAAATGTGAAACCGGAATGAGTTTGTGCCTCAGAATAGAAATACAGTTAACTACGGTTATAACGAGCTCAAAGGGACTACTAATTTTAGTTCGTTTGTTGTTCGTTTGTTTGTTGTTTAACGCCGCACTCAGCAATAGTCCAGCTTATTGACGGCGGTCTGTAAATAATCGAGTCTGGACCAGACAATCCAGTGATTGATATCATGAGCATCGATCCACGCAATTGGGATCGATGACATGCATCAACCAAGTCAGCGAGCCTGACCACCCGATCCCGTTAGTCACCTCTTACAAGCACAGTCGCCTATTACAGCAAGCATGGGTTGTTGAAGACCAATTCTACCCCGGTATTTTAGTTCTGAATAACCGTAGTTCGTAATAAGCAAACATACAGCATATATACAACAAATGGCCGGGACTAAATCTAAGTTCGTTGTATTGGTCAGTTCGTTATAAGCATGTTCGTTATAAACGTAGTTTACTGTATATTATTAATGTGTATATTTCACACATAATTAAACCGCTATGTCGATGTTGGCCGATACTAGGAGTAACAGCCATTGTAATGAGAGGAGTGAGTGAGTGAGTGAGTGAGTGAGCGAGTTGGGTTTAACGCCGCTTTTAACAGTATTACAGTTATATCAGCTTAATGTGGGAGGAAAGCCCTAAGTGTTGCAGGTCTCAGACGTTTACCACTTCGGTGAAACCCACGAGCACGGGTATGGTGTTGACAAACCTAGAAACATAATCGGGGCGAACCGGAATTCGAACCCACAATCATAGGTTTCTGGCATGCCCAAGGGACGCAACTCTGCACAGCGAATTAGACGACTGGGCCACCTGTGCCCCCTGTAATGAGAGGAGATTTAAGTTATACAGTAACCGTTATTCACGACCATTTGATATTCTCACTGTTGAAAAAGAAATTGTCTGCCACAAAAATTATATTGTCAAAAGGCGTTTTCCTTTAAAAGAACCCCATTCAGATAGTTTAAATTTAAACAAAATGAATTAAAAAATATCGAATCTCAAAAGTCTGTTTAAATAATTACATGTACAATTATAGGTCACAAAATGCAAAGTTGCGGTTACTGCAATAGCGTGGTAATACCTTTTGTGCTGAGATTGTATTTCGAGTATTGGGGATACCAGAGAGCTTGAAATGTGGCACCCCAAGACACCGACCACGTGATATTCGGTGGAGAAGGGGGTACTGGGATTCTATCGAAACAAAGAGATTGTCCCAGGAAATTAATGAAAAAGAAATATGCCTCAGATTGTTGTAAAAAAATAAGATTGTCGGTAACAAAAAATAAATTGTTCCAAGGTGTTTTTCTTAAAAAAACCATTCAGACTCATAGATAAAAATATCTAATCTCCAAACAAAACTTCGGCCCCCTTCAGTGGACCTTCGTTTGTTTGTGCATCGACCGCAAAACACGTATTCAGTTATATAGCAGCCTGGAAGTGGCAAAGTTACACCAGAAGGAATAAGTTAGGCGATGGACAGCAGAAGTGGACTGCACACATTTAAGTAATATCTTAAATGCTGTTACCCACCAATGATTGGTGAGGTGAGGTGAAGTGAAACGGGTTTTAACGTCGCGTCCAAGATTATTGCACTTATATAGCGACGTGCATGTACCTGTGTGTGTGTGTGTGTGTGTGTGTGTGTGTGTGGCTGCTTGTACTAGTCCGGACGGATGCCGATTTATAGTGCTGAGATACCATGTCGCAGTTTAACATGAATACCCCCCTCAGACACAGTATACTGACTCCGACTCCTTGTTTTAGCCCCTTAATGCCGAGCGCCAGACAGGGTAACAACAAGTACCATCTTTTAACGTCTTTTGGTATGACGCGGTCGGGGATCGAACCCCGGACCTTCCGCTCTCCGGGCGGACGCTCTACCACTAGACCACGAAGGCGGTTCCACCAATGATTGTATGTAATACGTATAGATCGCCATTGTACATAAATTATGTTCTCTGTTAACCTCAATGTGCTATGTTGTGTTGCCTTCATAAATTCAGCTCATTTCAGTTCACGCAAGGGATTCACATTATCAAAGCGCAAATCAGAAAGATCTCTTTTCCCGTGTCAGCGGGCATGTTATCATCAGCATTAATAACTAAACTGTAAATATATTAACTTGGTCTCGTCGCTATATGGCTGAAATAATGCCGATGCGACGTTCAATTTTAACTCACTCACTCATTTCAGTTCAGGGAATCAAACCCGGGCCTTCAGCGTGACGAGCGAACGTTTTAACCACTATACTACCTCTTCTGTACCTCATTGATAATCTGTAAACGTCCTCGAGTTGACGGGAGAACAATATGGGTGCACCTTCCCTGTTGGGTCAAGTAGCAGGAAATACAAACAGCAACTGGCCCGCGAATTGAACAACAATGGCCGACACGCCAGAGGACAGTTATCTGAGTGTGGAACATTTCCAATCACAGACAGAAACACAACCAATTCCAAGGAGATCCTGCACGACCAAACGCTGCATCGTTACGGCTGCTCTTGTTCTGTCGTTGTCTGTTAATGCAGTGGGTGTGTTCTATTGGTACCATCACCACTCCCAGCACGCCGTCAATGACGGTCAGTCAGCAGAAGTGTCTGAAGTTCGTACCAACACGTTATGCACGGCCTGCACGGACATCGGCGTACATCCGGGCACACGCAACATTTCCGATCTGGAGGATCTCATTGTGCTTGAAATGCCTGGCTCGTCCTATTTGTGCTGTCTGCAGAATGTTGAAGGTCTACAGGTGCTGTTGACGCTCGTAAGTTTTTAAAGCCCTCGTTCATGACTGTCTTCAGAGAAATATTTTTATTTGTATTTTATATTTTAGATAAAGGGATGATAATTCATCAAAAATATACTTTTGGAATATGCACGACGCCTGATAAGTGTTTTCCCCAAAGTGACACCCATAAGATCGTGGTTTCATCTAGATCATGGTGTCTCCGTCACGATATGGCTCGAATGTTTTGTTTGTTTGTTTGTTTGTTTGTTTGTTTGTTTGTTGTTTAACGCCGCACTCAGCAATACTCCAGCTATATGACGTCGGTCTTTAAAATAATCGAGTCTCGACCAGACAATCTAGTGATTGACATCATGATCATCGATCCACGCAATTTAGATCGATGACATGTATCAATCAAGTCAGCGATCCTGACCACCCGATCCCGTTAGTCGCCTTATGCGACAAGCATAGTCACCTTTTACGACAGGCTCGAATGTTACATAAGGGTTCAATGTCTTAGCCAGAAAAGAACATAAATGTTTTGGTTTTGGCTTGGTTTGTTGTTTTACGCCGCACTTAGCAATATTCCAGCTTTATGACGGCGGTCTGTAAATAATCGAATCTGGACCAGACAATCCAGTGATTGATACATTGAGCATCGATGGCATGTTTGAACCAAGTTAGTCGCCTCTTACGACAAGCTTAATCGCCTTTTATTGCAAGAAGGGGTTGTTGAAGACCTATTCTACCCTTCTCGGGGCGGTCGGGGAACCTAGTGTTTAAAGCGTTCGCTCGTCACGCCGAAGACCCGGGTTCGATTCCCGACGTGGGTAAAATGTGTGAAGCCCATTTCTGGTGTCACCCGCCGTCATATTGCTGGAATATGGCTAAAACCGGCGTCAAACCACACTCACTCACTCACTCACTCACTCACTCACTCACTCACCATTGATTCAGAAACCTTGTGTAAAAACAGGAACTGGTTTAAAAGAGCTATAAACAGCATTTCGGGCTGCCTGATCAATTAGGGAAGACAGCTGAAAGTACACTGGCCGTAGAAGCCTGCCACTTTGATACGTGAAACCAACGAGCATTGGTCAAACCAAAGATAACTAAGCCCATGTCATGAGATTCGGAACCATGGATCCTTCCTCTGAGGGACGGGGGCACGGGTGGCCCAGTCGTCTACGGCGCCTCGATTCGCTGTGCAGAGTTGCGTCCCTTGGGCACGCCAGAAACCTATGATTGTGGGTTCGAATCCCGGTTCGGCCCGATTATGTTTCTAGGTTTGTCAGCACCATACCCTTGCTCGTGGGTTTCACCGAAGTGGTAAACGTCTGAGACCTGCATCACTTCGGGCTTTCCTCCTACATTAAGCTGACACGCCGTGATATAACTCACTTACTCACATATACTCTTCAAAAAAAGAAACTTGACATGTTCAACCACTTTTTGCCAAATATCTAAAATAATTACATGAGAACCAAATAAGTCAAACAGAAAGATGATGTGTCTATAATTCGCGAAAACGCATGCAAAGCACATAAACGTAGCGTTTGGGGATCAATTTTACAGCTTCATCCAAACGCAACCGCCTGTAAAAAACGTGCAGCACAGGATCCTGCATTTAGGCATGCAGGCCCCTCTGCTGAATGGGTATAAAAATCCACATCAACGGCTGTTCATACAGTCCTTATAACGGCAGTAGAGGGGGTGACAGAATGCCAAGACTGAATGCAGCTCAACGGAACATCGCCATTGAGAGTTTACAAGCTGGAGCAACTCAGCAAGAAGTGGCCAGGCACTTTGGCGTATCAAGACAGACAATCTCCGCACTGTGGAACCGATACAACAACACCAACAGAGTTGACGACAGACCAAGGTCAGGAAGACCAAGGGTGACAACCCAAGCACAAGATCGATACATTCGGCTGCGACACCCCCAAAATCGCACTACAACAGCCACGTCTACAACCACACAGATCCCTGTGGTACGCAGAATATCTGATCAAACGGTACGCAACAGACTGAGGGAGGCTGGACTTTTTGCACGAAGACCTGTTCGACGTCATGTATTGACCCCACGTCATCCGGCGGACCGTCTGCTTTGGTGCCAACAGAGGGTTAGATGGGCACGTGCAAGGTGGAGAAATGTACTGTTCAGTGAAGAGTCCCGGTTCCTACTCACACGTGCTGAGGGGCGCGTACGTGTCTACAGACGTCGGGGTGAACGTTACGCCCCCAACTGTGTGCAGCAGGTTGTCCCATTTGGCGGCGGGAGTGTCATGGTATGGGCCGGAATTCATCACGGTGGTAGGACGCCTCTCGTGCATGTGGCAGGTGCATTGACAGGTGTGCGTTACAGAGACTTGATCCTGCAGCCTTACGTTCTTCCTCACGTCAACGTTCATGGCGGACAGTTCCAGCAGGACAACGCTCGACCGCATATTGCACGTGTTTGTCAGGACTTCTTACAGCACAACAACATCCAGACATTACTTTGGCCAGCCCGGTCACCAGATTTGTCCCCGATTGAGCATCTGTGGGACGAGTTGGATCGACGCGTTCGCAGAAGGAATCCACCGCCCCAAACACTTCCGGCGCTTCTTGTTGCACTTCAGCATGAATGGCAGCACATCCAACAGCGTGTTATTGACAACTTGATTGCATCTATGGGTCGTCGGTGTCATGCGGTGATTGATGCACGTGGTGGGCACAACCGATACTGACATTTTCTGTACCCCTGTGACATTAACTGTATCGTGTACGTGTGTCTGTCTAGGTGACACGATTAATGTTTTGAACATTGTGTACATTGAACTTCAAACAGTGTTTCAATTATGGTTTCTGTGTCCTATTTTGAAACAATCGCATTATATTACATTTTGAAAGTCAGTGTCAAGTTTCTTTTTTTGAAGAGTATATATTCGCGGGGCCTTTGAACAGTGTGAACCGAAACCAAGTAGTCCATTTACACAACTCATGCATAGATGTCAGTGGAAACAGTTTGTACTCTGATGAAATCATGGTGTAGTTTTAGTGTTTCAGCTTAATACAGGAAATTAGCTCAGCTTATAACATTGTAATGTTATGACACATGTAAGGCTTATGACAGCTATGAGTAACTTTTTATTTATAGACTCGTTAAGATCTGGAGTAGAATAACCCATGCTTGCCGTAAAGGGCGACTATGTTTGTCGTAAGAGGCGGCTAACGGGATCGGGTGGTCAGGCTCGCTGACTTAAATGATGCGTGTCATCGTATCCCAGTTGCGGAGATCGATGCTCATGATGTCAATTACTGGATTGTCAGGTCCAGACACGATTATTTACAGATCATCGGCATAAAGCAGGAATATTGCTGAGTGCGGCGTTAAACAAACGACAAACAAACAAAGCCATGTTGCATAAACGTTAGTGCTTGATAAGTAGAATAGCAGACAGTGTGGTTGCAAACGCGTTACTGACAAAGACGTCACTACTCAAATGAGTCAGTAGGAGACAGTTAAAGTCGGACACATCAGTGACATCGTTCTGCATAAAAAATGCCTCCCTCCCTATGCACTTTTCACACTATGAAATCAAATCATTTTCAGAAGTCACGCGATAACACCTGAATCCTCAGTCAATGGAAATGCCTTCAGGAAGCATCTTATTTTTTTGGTTATAATGTCTCTTTGGTATAAGTCAAGTAAGCCTGTAACAGGTTGTCAACTGGCAGCAGCTGCTGTGTGCTTGCTTATCGTGATGAGGATCGTTGGTTTAGATCAGATGGCTTTGCAGATGGAATTTCATTGTTGGGGTCACGGGTGGCCCGGTCGTCTAAGGAGCCGCGATTCGCTGTGCAGAGTTGCGTCCCTTGGGCTCACCAGAAACCTATGATTGTGGGTTCGAATCCCGGTTCGCCCCGATTATGTTTCTAGGTTTGTCAGCACCACACCCGTGCTCGTAGGTTTCACCGAAGTGGTAAACGTCTGAGACCTGCATCACTTCGGGCTTTCCTCCTACATTAAGCTGACACGCCGTGATATAACTGGAATACTGTTAAAAGCGGCGTTAAACCCAACTCACTCACCCACTCACACTATTTCATTGTGCACTGATGACAAGTGGGTTGCCAGACACCATGTGATTATGTGCATGCCATTACCTAATATTTCATCAGTCAGTGTTGTATCAGATTGCCTTTCTATTCAGTTCACTGCTCAATCCAACACCTCGTCCAGAACTCAACAAACGGATGATGTCTTCAGTCGTAAGACCGGAGCCCATCTGTATCTTAACCGCGATGCATCGAAACGAAGTAAGTAGACATTTCAATAAAAAAATTGGCTAATAATTCAGTCACATACACTGTCTTTTCAAGTTAACGTGACAGCACGTTTAGGATCCCGGGATAGAGTAAGTAACCTATGCACCCTGTTTGTCGTACGAGCCGACAGGCAGTCACATTGTTACCGCCTCTGTGTCTTGCCGTAAAAGGTGACTATGCTTGTCGTAAAAGGCGACTATGCTTGTCGTAAAAGGCGACTATGCTTGTCGTAAAAGGCGACTATGCTTGCCGTAAAAGGCGACTATGCTTGTCGTAAAAGGCGACGAACGGGATCGGGTGGTCAGGCTCGCTGACTTGGTTGATGCATGTTATCGTATCCCAATTGCGTGGATCGATGCTCATAACGTCAATCACTGGACTGTCTGGTCCAGATTCGATTATTTTCAGACCGCCGTCATATAGCTGGAATATTGCTGAGTGCGGCGTTAAACAACAAAGAAAGAAAGAAACAACCGTATCTGTGGTCAAGTGGATAGAGCATCTGCCCGTAGAAGGCACTTGTTGTTACCCTGCCTGGTGCTTGGATCTTAACACACACTTGGTTTGTATGTTTACACAATAAGACACATATATGTATCAGGTAATTACACGCGGTATGTTTTAAAATTGTGAACATTCTTTTCAGGTGGATCGCTAGAATGGACTGATGAATCCCACGATTCCGCCTACATAAGTCAGAGCGTCATCTGCGACAACAAGACCCTCCAAATCAAACGGCCCGGCCACTATCACATCTACTCCTTCCTCACACTCAAAACCCACGACTGTCACCGTTACCCTGACAAAACCGTCCATATTATGACGAGGAGCAACGCAAACCTGCCCACACTTGGCAGGACTACCATTATCATGGCCAAGAAGACCTTACCGGAAGTCAGCGAGAGGTTCGGCACGAGTTATCTGTCCGCTACAGTCAGACTGAGGCAGGGCGATCACGTGTCTGTAGCTATCAGCAACATGTCATATGTCTATCAACATCCGCCATCTAATTTCTTTGGCTTGTACTACGTAGGGAACTGATCGCAAACAGTAACATAGTGGTGTACAATTTTGTAGTGTGCTGGTTATTTACACAGAAGAAACTTTCCCGACGGTTTGTTTGTTTTAACGCCGCACTCAGCAATGTTCCAGCTATTAGACGGCGGTCTGTAAATAATTCAGTCTGGACCAGACAATCCAGTGATTGACACAACGAGCATCGAGCTACGCAATTGAGATACATCAACATGCATCATCCAAGTCAGCGAACCTAACCAGCCGATCCGGTAATCGCCTTTGGCGATGTGCATGAGTTGATGTAGCTCAATTCTAACCCGGATGTTGACAGGGTCTTGCCATACGGTGATTTCAGAGTTTGCACAAAGATGTAACAATGGATGACACATATATTGTAGCAGCACTAGATGATCAATGAAGTGTCAGATTGCCATTATTGAAACATACACCCCAGATCCGTTACACATTGCAACTATTGTGTTTCTTTTGTGTTTTGTTCAACGCACAGAAATATTCCCGCTATACATTCAAGTCTCGCCATTGAAATCAAGAGTATTGATTTACGCCATTGGGATCGATGGCACATAATCAACCAAGTCATAGAGCCTGACGACCCGATCAATGTTTGTTTGTTTGTTTGTTTGTTTGTTGTTTAACGCCGCACTCAGCAATATTTCAGCTATATGACGGCGGTCTGTATATAATTAAGTCTGGACCAACCAGTGATTCATATGAGCATCGATCCACGCAATTGGGATCGATGACATGCATCAACCAAGTCGGGTGGTCAGACTCGCTGAGTTGGTTGATGCATGTAATCGTATCCCAATTGCGTGGAACGATGCTCATGATGTCAGTCACTGGATTGTCTGGTCATTTGTGGACACAAAAACATTGGAGAGTCTTCACGCCCCACAGCCACTAGAATAAAAGCACACAAGACCTCGGTGGAAAAAAATCTGACATGAAGATCCTGACAACCATATTTCCTGGCCACAACGCAATATTCTCCATCCCAGCATCAGTCATTAGAAAGAGAGGGAAGTTCAAGAAAGCATCGAAAGCCAAAGAAAGAAGCCAGGCATTAACAGAGACCAAAGTATCTACCAACCAGTGTGTACTCCTCTGTGCTATAATCACATCATCAACCACTTTGGATATCTCGATTGCCTTATTGCTTGTGTCACAACAGCCAACAACTTGTCATCACTACACTTCCAGTGTACCTACATGAATCCTCTCCTGTTGATTCCATTGGCTTCGTCATTATATTATTATCTATGTACATTAATCCTATCTATCTCAATGGCTTCGTCATTATATTGCTATCTTTGTACATAAATCCTATCTATCTCAATGGCTTCGTCATTATATTATCTTTGTACATTAATCCTATCTATCTCAATGGCTTCGTCATTATATTATTATCAATGTACATAAATCCTATCTCATTGGCTTCGTCATTATATTATCTATGTACATAAATCCTATCTATCTCAATGGCTTCGTCATTATATTATTATCAATGTACATAAATCCTATCTCAATGGCTTCGTCATTATATTATCTTTGTACATTAATCCTATCTCAATGGCTTCGTCATTATATTATCTTTGTACATTAATCCTATCTATCTCAATGGCTTCGTCATTATATTATCTTTGTACATAAATCCTATCTCAATGGCTTCGTCATTATATTATCTTTGTACATAAATCCTATCTCAATGGCTTCGTCATTATATTATCTTTGTACATTAATCCTATCTATCTCAATGGCTTCGTCATTATATTATCTTTGTACATAAATCCTATCTCAATGGCTTCGTCATTATATTATCTTTGTACATAAATCCTATCTCAATGGCTTCGTCATTATATTATCTTTGTACATTAATCCTATCTATCTCAATGGCTTCGTCATTATATTATTATCAATGTACATAAATCCTATCTCAATGGCTTCGTCATTATATTATCTTTGTACATAAATCCTATCTATCTCAATGGCTTCGTCATTATATTATTATCAATGTACATAAATCCTATCTCAATGGCTTCGTCATTATATTATCTTTGTACATTAATCCTATCTCAATGGCTTCGTCATTATATTATCTTTGTACATAAATCCTATCTATCTCAATGGCTTCGTCATTATATTATCTATGTACATAAATCCTATCTATCTCAATGGCTTCGTCATTATATTATTATCAATGTACATAAATCCTATCTCAATGGCTTCGTCATTATATTATCTTTGTACATTAATCCTATCTCAATGGCTTCGTCATTATATTATCTTTGTACATTAATCCTATCTATCTCAATGGCTTCGTCATTATATTATCTTTGTACATAAATCCTATCTCAATGGCTTCGTCATTATATTATCTTTGTACATAAATCCTATCTCAATGGCTTCGTCATTATATTATCTTTGTACATTAATCCTATCTATCTCAATGGCTTCGTCATTATATTATCTTTGTACATAAATCCTATCTCAATGGCTTCGTCATTATATTATCTTTGTACATTAATCCTATCTATCTCAATGGCTTCGTCATTATATTATCTTTGTACATAAATCCTATCTCATTGGCTTTGTCATTATATTGTTATATATGTACATTAATCCTATCTATCTCAATGGCTTCGTCATTATATTATCTTTGTACATAAATCCTATCTCATTGGCTTTGTCATTATATTGTTATATATGTACATTTATCCTATCTATCTCAATCGCTTCGTCATTATATTATTGTCTTTGTACATTAATCCTATCTATCTCAATGGCTTCGTCATTATATTGTTATATATGTACATTAATCCTATCTATCTCAATCGCTTCGTCATTATATTATTATCTTTGTACATTAATCCTATCTATCTCATTGGCTTCGTCATTATATTGTTATATATGTACATTAATCCTATCTATCTCAATCGCTTCGTCATTATATTATTGTCTTTGTACATTAATCCTATCTATCTCAATGGCTTCGTCATTATATTGTTATATATGTACATTAATCCTATCTATCTCAATCGCTTCGTCATTATATCGTTATCTTTGTACATTCATCCCACCTAGTGTTTTGTAAACATGATATAATTTATTTACACTATGCGCTTACTCAACATTCACCCGATGATGGTTTTGGTTTGGTTTGTTGTTTTACGCCGCACTCAGCAATATTCCAGCTATATGACGGCGGTCTGTAAATAAACGAGTCTGGACAATCCAGTGATTGATATCATGAGCATCGGTCCACGCAATTGGGATACGATGACATGCTTCAACTAAGTCAGCGAGCCTGACCACCCGATCCCGTTAGTCGCCTCTCACGACAAGCAAAGTCGCCTATTACGGCAAGCATGGGTTGCTGAAGACCTATTCTACCCCGGAATCTTCACGCGTACACCCGATGATTGAGCAAGAAGTAATATAATAAAAAGAATAAAAGAAGTTGCTATCCATTTGTAGTGTCATGTACTAGTATTTATATTCATTAGACTATGGCTGTTGGGGTATCTTAGTGGTTCAGACGTTCGCTTGTCACGACTAAACTCCGGTTCAATTCCCCCAGGGCACCATGCTTGAAGCCCATTTCATGTGTCCGCCGTCGTGATATTGCTGCAGAATTGCTGCTTAAAACTACACTCACTCCTCACATTAGAATGGGAACAATATTGTAGTTGAGGTGAAAAGGTCGCGTTCAAGATCATTGGACGTAGATAGGGTCGTAGATAGGGTTGTGTGCATGCGTGTGTGCGTGCGTGCGTGCGTGCGTGCGTGTGTGTGGTGAGTGATTGCGTGGGTGAGTTCGTGCGTATGTCTGGGTTCGTGTGAGAGAGTTTGTGTGTGCGCGTGTGAGTGAGTGAGAGGATGCGTGTTTGTGTGTGTGTGTGTGTCTGTGTCTGTGTGAGCGAGAGATGCGAGCGAGTTGTGTGTGCGCGTGTGAGTTGGTGAGGGCATGGGTGCGTGTTTGTGTGTGTGTGTGTGTGCGGTTGCTTGCGTGTTTATGTGTGAGTGAGTACGTGCGTGCGTGTTTGAAATAGTTCTGACTCATGCCGTTTCTGTAGTGCTAGCCCACTGAGATGCAATGGTTTAACATGGATATCAGACACAGTATACTGACTCCGAGCCGGCCAGTCCTTGTTTTAGCCCTTTAATCTCAAGCGCCAGACAGGGTAACAACAAGTACCATCTTTTAAAGTATTTTGCTATGACGCGGCGGACGCTCTACCACTAGACCACGGAGGCGGTCACTATCCACCAAAGTGAACAATTTTGGCTCGCTGTAGACATTCACTCTTAGAACTTGCAATTTGTACTCTAGTGCGTGATGTGTGTGAGGACAGCGTCAGTGCTGTTGATAGAGACTTGTCCTCCCAGATTCTGCTCATATATGAATTGAAAAGTAATGTCTCTGTAACAATTCTATGTTAATGTTTTTCTTACATTTGTGGCGACTAACGGGATCGGGTGGTCAGGCTCGCTGACTTGGTTGATGCATGTCATCGATCCGAATTCCGTGGATCGATGCTCATGATGTCAATCACTGGATTGTCTGGTCCAGACTCGATTATTTACAGACCGCCGTCATATTGCTGGAATATTGCTGAGTGCGGCGTTAAACAATAAACCAACCAAATCTTACATTTGTCCTGTCCACCACGTTTTCACTATTCACCTTTCACTGTTGGATCAAATGTATGCTGTAGATGTGCTGTGTGAAGCCCATTTCTGGTGTTCCCCGCCATTGATGGAATATTGCTGAAAGTGGCGTAAAACATACTCACTCGCTCATTCACTCTGATTCCTGCCTCTCGACATTGGATCTGACTACACACATGCCGACAACGACAATTTGCATCGTAGCTTGTGTAAAGACAGTACAACACTCGACTTCCCAAGCTGCGATACAAACAATCATATATTTACATAACAGCACTCAGTTTCAAAGTCGCGCTGATTTTCTTATTTGCTATGGATTTACGCCCCACACACAGATTACAACGTTACCTAATGTTGGGACGCCCAGTCGTCTTAGGTTGCACGCCCAAAACCTATGATTGTGGGTTCGAATCCCGGTTCGCCCCGAGTATGTTTCTAGGTTTGTCAGCACCATGCCCGTGCTCGTGGGTTTCACCAAAGTGGTGAACGTTCTGAGACCTGCATCACTTCGGGCTTTCCTCCCACATTAAGCTGATACGCCGCGATTTAACTGGAATACTGTTAAAGCGGCGTTAAACCCAACTCACTCAGTCAATCACTCAGTAGGAAAGTGTGAGAGTACTGGTATGCCACATCCCTACCCCCCTAACCCCCCCCCCCCACACACACACCCACACACCCACCCACCCCCCCCCCGCCGCTGTCAGCGGGAAACTATTTTCACTCAATACTTCTTCAACTCACTCACTCACTAATGTTGGGAAATTATTCTTTTCAACACGTGGTAAAATCGTATTCAGTGCCAAAGATTTTACTACAAACTGTACACAGTTGGCGTTAGAACGACACCTTTAATGTGTTATGTACTCTTTGTAACACGCACACTGAGCAAATATGTGAATTCGCATTTTACATGAACTGCAAACCCAGTTAACAAAGCACACATTCTGTGTTCATGCTTTATGTGTCAACGGAAATACACATAATATGGTGAGGGTTGTAACATCGAAAACGAAACTAGACAAAATACTGCTACTTTTCGACGTTATATAATGACAGCTTTGTCGATATTATGTATTTCGGCTTTTCAAGCCGAAAAAGCCTATAATAGGCTTTTCAAGTCTTCAGTAGAGAGATGATTTTTGTCAGAACTGACGATCGTTATACTTCAATCCTTGAGAGTATTGTATAAATCGATCATGACGCTAGAGCGAAAATAGAATACACGGTTTTTCCACTGAATTCTCGAGGAATTCAACTCGAGACGAAAGGCGAGTTGTGTTGCATACTTCAATACCTTAAGCTAGGGAGTGGTAGATTTTAAAACTGGCAAGAAATCAGATTCAATGTTTCAGTCACAATGTCTGCAGCATACAGCATCATAGACAAAGAAGACGGCGTCGTTATAGAGAAGCACCGTTTGTCATGTGAACAAACAACTGCCTGTCTCATAGTGACTCTTTCAATTTGTGTGAATCTGACATTAGGAGTCACTATATTGTTGAGCATTAACCTGGGATATGGTACAGAACTAGCATCCAGGACATCACCATCTCGACAAATGATTGACAGGTACTCTGTATGCACAGAGTGTCATTACTTTGGACACGCAGAGAAACATACACGACACGGAAGACTTGTCAAGAGAGTGGAGACTAACGATGGACAGATTTGCTGCCTTCACCAAGCTGAGAGCCTATGGAGGCTTCTGAACCTGGTAGGTGCCTGTGGTATAATATAATATGTGACATATCAGTAAAGGCGCTGTCGTGTCACTAGGGTTCTAACCCACTATTGGATTGTTTGTTCGGGACTCGATCGTATACAGGCCACCGCGGTATGGCAGGTGTAGTGCTGTGTGACGTTAGGTGACAGAATCAAACTTACATTTTTATGCAAATTGTGTGAGTTTGCTACCGTTAGAGCAGGACTTGCGTACCCTTTTCGCAAACACTTGCGATGATCAATGATTTTCAGTGATCCATTCATAAAAATTATCACTGGTTTGCCTTTTACCCAAATGGAATCTGTTTCGGTAGACGTTTTATATATTAGGGGTAATAGGAGCTGTAGTATAAAGAGGACAACGTTGAGATTGATCGAAAGGTTTGTTGTCAGTGTAAAAATATGTGACATACGAGGGCTGGTGGAAAAAGTTCAAGTCGAAAAGTGTGATAAGAGGCATTGTCATGAAATAGTAGAACTCCAGCAGTCAGCATTCCTCGCCGCTTTTCTGGGGATAATCTCAGGCGATGACGCTAATCACAACAGTAGGCACTGACTCCTGACTTTCCAAGTAATCAACAAGGATCACACCCTTTGCATACAGTGGCCAAACCTTCCTTCACAGATCTTGAAGTGTCAGTTCTTTTTCCCTTAAGATCAGAATTTAGAACCTTTGGCCCCCAACAAGCAGATATCTTATTCATAATAATGATGATAATCTTCATCGATGGAAGTTGGGGGACGTCACGATCTAAGGTCATCATCAATGCATGTTCTTAAACAGCCTTAAACATAGCTGCCAACGTTTAACGGTGGAATAGTTTGGGCACTTATCGCTATAAACTTGAGACATGCGGTCATGCATTTCTTGGAGAAATGCTCGGTATTCGTTCTTAGTCGGCTCTTACGACAAGCAAAGTCGCCTTTACAGCAAGCATGGGTTGCTGAAGAACTATTCTACCCCGGATCTTCACGGGTCTCCACGCAATTGGGATACGCTGACATGCATATACCAAGTCAGCGAGTCTGACCACCATGTATGATGACTATTAATCACGCGTATGGAATATGTATGTATCGATATTCAATAAAACAAGACCAACTTCTGAAACGATATTTCCAGATACATATGGAGTCCTTGATGCAGCAACCGACGTCCCCCGGGCAAGTGTCGTTCCCGCCGCCGTCGGCGCACCTGTATCTTGACACACTACAAGGTAATGCATGAATAGCTTCCGTCCGAACCAGCCACATTCAGCTATTTGTAATATGCAACACATTGGGGGCGGGGGTTAACCCTGCGTTCAATTAAGAAATGAGTTTCATATGAATTTTCATACTGGAGTATAAACTCTTTAACCGTGCAAGTTAAAGTCATGTCCATTCCGGAGCTTGACAACCAACACCATATAAAATTAATTTCTTAAACAAATTCGTACTTTGAAGTTAAAGCGATACACATTTTACGGTGACGCTCATTTTGGGCGATTTACGTTACCGGATACATTAGAATGCAATTTCCCTATTACGGGAATATTCGCCACACTTACGCAAGACAAAGTAGTTCCAATTCCATAAATAAAAAAAGACACATCATTGTTAATAGACGAGAGTTTCTTTTAGTAATTTTACATCAGAAATGACTTCCTTTTTTCACCCGAGCTTCACCTCAATGAAATTACCAAAAATGTTGACGTTGATCTCACAACCGGGGATCGACTTTTTTGCGGGTTTTTTCGAAGGGACATTCGCTGAGTCAGGGATCGTACATACATACATGTGACATGTAAGTAATGAGAAACATTTTGATAATATACGTTTTGTTATTTGTTTTTATGGTTTCCATTGTAACCAAGGGCAATAGTCAGAAATGCCGATAAATACCGTTGTCATTTTGCATGATATTGCGTGATATTGCGTCAGTCATGGGATCACGAAGGACAGAAACTTTGACAATTTCTGTAGAATTTACCAAATCATTGTTATGTATTGATTCGTAATTTCCTAATATATATACTCAACAACAAAAGTTCCTGTGACACCAATGTATTAGTGTATTTTTCAAACAAGTAAAGTTTTCAATATTGTAGTACATGTATGGAATCAAGTCACAAAAACGCAACTGCTACAGAAAAGCATGCATTCCATGCAAAAGTTGCCTTTTATGCAAGCCCCATGCATTTCACTACCCAAGAATGGGTATATAAACTTGTTCGTTAACGGGATTCCATATGCATTGATTGGCATCGTGCTGATAACAACCACTCAGAAGAACAACAAAATTACGCAATTATTCAACATTACGAAATGCCACGCCTGTCCACAAATGGGCGTCTGCGAGCCATTGGTATGCTTGAAGCAGGATTGCGTCAACGTGATGTTGCAAGACAATTAAAGTATAAAGAAACACCATTTGGTGTTTATGGCAACATTGGCAACAGACGAATGCAGTCAGAGACCATCCTCGGAGTGGCAGGCCATGCGTAACCAATAATCGACAAGACAACTGGATTCGAACAACACACCTACGAAATCGATTCCAGCCAGCAACAGTGACTGCAAGAAGCATCCCAGGCCTTCGACGAATATCTTCACAAACTGTACGTCGCCGCCTCAGATGTGTAGGGATTGTCGCCAGAAGACCCGCCAGACGTCCCATTTTGACAGGAAACCACCGTCAGTGGTGCAGACAGCGTCTACGCTGGACGGCCATGCAGTGGGGACAAGTTCTATTCACTGACCAGTCTCGTTTTCACCTCAGCCACGGCGATGGACGGATTCGAGTGTACCGACGTCGAGGTGAACGTTACGTCAATCAATGTGTCATGGAAGAAGATCGGTTCGTGAGCGGCAGCGTTATGGTACGGGGTGGGATTACAGCAAGACAGAGGACCCGTTTGAAAGCGGTAGAGGAAAATCTCAATGGACAGCGCTACCGTGGCGAGATCATCGGCCCTGTTGTTCTACCTTTTATGCGTCGTCATGGCCCAGGCATTACCTTTCAACATGACAACGCCCGGCCTCATATTGCTCGACTTGTTCAGGAATCTCTTCAACAAAACAACGTGAATGTCATCCCCTGGCCGGCTCACCCCCCCCCCCCCCCCCCACACACACACACACACACCCACCCCACCCCCACCCCCACCCCCCATCTCTCACCAATCGAGCACATGTGGGGTGAGATGGACAGGCTCCTTCGACGTCAACCACGTGTTCCACAGACACTCCAGGAACTTCGAAACATGCTCCAGCAGATATCCCACAGGACTTTGTGCGAAGCCTGGTCCATTCCATGAGACGACGATGTGTTGCTTGCGTCGCAACCAGAGGTGGACACACACGCTATTGATTTGTAAATGGACATCTTGGCATGTTCATGTTTTTGTCACAGGAACTTTTGTTGTTCATTATATATAAATTATAAACGGGCCATGTGTCTAGCAAATAAACACATCACCTTAAACTTCAAATACGCATTGGGCTTTGTTTCAAGGTTCAAATACCTCGATTGACTGTGACAGGGTAAAGAGAAAGGCCGTGTGTGTACAAACCATAGGTTTTGTAGTAGTTTCGCTTCCCGTTGAAGTGTTTTTCAGTTGTATCACGACTTGACGGCTTGAAGTGGGAGTGAAGCCCGACGTATTGCACGTCCTGCCGGTTTACACTTAGGCGAAACCCACGAACACGGGTATGGTCCTGACATAGTGAATTTTGGAACTCAAACTTTCAAGCATAGATCCTTAGGGACGCTACTGTCCACAGCGAAATTGCATCGTTCTTTGACGACAGCTGATCTTTGGACTTTTGTGTTTTATCTATCTATCTATCTATCTATCTATCTATCTATCTATCTATCTATCTATCTATCTGACGACAGCTCATCTTTGGACTTTTGTATTTGATCTATCTATCTATCTATCTATCTATCTATCTTCCTATCTATCTATCTAACTATCTGTATCTTTGACGACAGCTCATCTTTAGACTTTTGTATTTTATCTATCTATCTATCTATCTATCTATCTATCTATCTATCTATCTATCTACCTGTTTGACGACAGCTCATCTTTGGACTATTGTATTTTATCTATCTCCCTGTCTGTCTGTATGTCTGTTTGACGACAGCTCATCTTTGGACTTTTGTATTCTATCTATCTGTCTGTCTGTCTGTCTGTCTGTCTGTATAAATATAAACAGCAAAGCCCTTTAACTTATCAGGAAGATATCGGATCATAATCAGAAGCCTCTACCCTTTCAGAATCTGACTACAAATGGAGCGAAGAGTTCGGATATGGGGCTGCCCACGTGACAGGGGGAATCAAGATGGCGTCGGGACGATTACAAATATCACATCCTGGTTACTATAACATCTACTCCTTCATCACGCTGAAGACGAGATCGGAACTAACCAGGAACCTGAGAGTGAAACATTCAGTTAGAAGAATCAGCAAGCATCCAGAACCACATACTGATATTGTGTTACAAAGAAGTGCTTCCATGTCCAGAATTAGTGAAACATTCATCAACAGTTATCTAGATGGTGTGATTAAACTCAATGCAAAAGACGAAATATATGTTGACGTTTCAAATGTAAGTTCTATTTATAAGTATGCACCTTCTAATGTATTTGGTCTACATCTTGTAAGATATATATGATATAGTCATAGGGATTAGTTTCATATATATATATATATATATATATCCAAATCTCTATATGCGAGCTTTAATTTCACAACATGATTGAAATCTTGATCACCAAAATGTAATTGTAAATCAATGTATGCCGTTTGTCAAATTCGCTGTGTGTGCCATACCATATGTTACAATGTCCTGTCACGCCCACCCACTCCCGAATATCGGTAATAACACGTCCCTGCGTATTGTGTAGGCAGAAATTACGTTTCAAGGTTTAACACTTGTAATGAAATGATATAATTTTCTGGGGACAGCTGCACAAAAAGTATATAATAAAAAGGATATTCCATGTGTCGAGTAAAATATCATGTTTCTCTCATCGACTGACGAGGGAGATCATTACTTTTATTACAGGGGGCACGGTGGCCCAGTCGTCTAAGGAGCCGCGATTCGCTGTGCAGAGTTGCGTCCCCTGGACACGCCAGAAACCTATGGTTGTGGGTTCGAATCCTGGTTCACCACGATTATGTTTCTAGGTTTGTCAGCACCATACCCGTGCTCGTGGGTTTCATCGAAGTGGTAAACGTCTGAGACCTGCATCACTTCGGGCTTTCCTTCCACATTAAGCCGTGATATAACTGGAATAATGTTAAAAGCGGCGTTAAACCCAACTCACTACTTTTATTACATAAATTTGATAGGTTGTAATTATGATATTTGCATTTTGTTTTCCTTCATTTGCTGTAGCATTGGACAGATACATTCTTGTTCCTCGACGTCTTGTTTTGGAAATTCTTCGATGCGCGATAGACGTTGTTTTCACAAGTCTTTTCCTTTGTAAGCGTGTATATATTACAGTCAATTTGTAAACTGTGATTCTCATTATGACTGAAAAATCTGTCCATTTCTTTAACAGATTGACTCAAATTGATTAAGACGACCAAAGGGGCCTAAAAACATCAAAATAGATTATTATGTATGATTAGAAGCCAAACAATGTCAAAAATGTACTTTTCATCGTAACATTTTCAGTCTCTTGGTGATGATTTTAAACATATAAATGTTTGAAATTCGTTGTCATAATAATATGGACATGGACATATTTTTGTAAAATAACTGAATATTCAGGCGTTTAATGAATTTCCTAAGTGAACAGTTTGCACATTTTGACTGTAAAAATGTAAACACGATAAATAAAGCAATGTTCAGGAGAAATATTTACTTTGTGTCAAAATAGTGTAAAGGAAAATCGCACAATTACCAAGCAAGTGACTTATCAAAACTTCGTCACCATTACCGATGCTACCTACAAAGATACCTACATTTCCTTTTTATTTCCAAAACTGTATTTCATTATGTTGATCGATGTGACCATACGCTCTTATACTATCAATAAAAGTGACAAATGCGCTTACGAATTGCGCAGCACAGGTTGCGAACTAGTCTAGTTAACTGCTATATCATCCGGGTACTCACGGGAAAAAACAATAACAAAGGCAACAACCAGTCCCAGGGAATTGCTTTAGATCAGTGCCCCTTTAATGCAAAAATATGTGTGTGAAAAATCTTCAGACCCAATTTCACCTCACCCCAAGCACGCTTTCATGAACCATATGAAACGGACGTAAAATATACCTTGTTGGCATACATGTATAGAAGGTGAGGTGAAATTGGGTTTAACGTCGCGTCCAAGATTATCGCACTTATAACTACGTGCATGACCGTGTGTGTCTTTGTGTGACTGCTTGTACTAGTCCGGACTGATGCCGTTTTAAAGTGCTAGCCCACTGAGATACCATGCCGCAGTTTAACATGAATACCCCACTCAGACACAGTATACTGACTCCGAGCCGACCAGTCCTTGTTTTAGACCCTTAATGCCGAGCGCCAGACAGGGTAACAACAAGTACCATCTTTTAACGTCTTTTGGTATGACACGGCCGGGGATCGAACCCCGAACCTTCCGCTCTCCGGGTGGACGCTCTACCACTAGACCACGGAGGCGGTCACATGTATAGAAAAAGAGATTCTTAAAAACATTGTGGTTTATCAGCGCCTGTGTGGGTTATGTATTGGAGAGAACACGCTTACGAGGTTTTGGTAGACAGAGCATACCCTTGGGAGAGGGAAAAACCAAGGGGGCAAGGCCCCCGCGGTTTTTCCCGACCCCAAGGGCATGCTTTGTCTACCAAAACCGAGGGAAAGTGTTTTTCCATGCTTATAAACCGTCTAAATTGATTAAATGTTATAACGAGCATCTATAAATGAGGCGCTTCATTATAACGCTTTCATGAAGACGTGATATCATAACTTGCACGTGAAATTCGCTGACTTGGATGTGTCAACAACAAAACACAACTAAAATACTTACTTTAAATAGAAAGTGAAATCTTCGGTTTCTAAATGTTTGTGTTGCAATATTCCACTTCTTTTAAACTTAATAAAACGAAAATTCGCAAATTTTTTGAAGGTGTTTTTTGCTTTACAAGATTTTCGATTTTAAACAATCCAACTGTTACATAGAGGTAGTTGCATTGTGACGTAACGGCTAGCAGTTACTGCACGTGCAAATTGTGCAGCATTGATTAGCACTTGTTTAAAAGCACGTGTTTTGAAACCTCGCTGTCCTTTCACCAGTGATGTCGCTTTTAAATGTCCACTCGGAACTGTACACATGTCATTCAATTTTAATTGAATTAAAATTTTGAATTGCTACTTGTTCTCATTTTTCAGTTACTTGGTTAAACCTGGGATTTGAGGTTTACATTCAAAGTGAAACCTCCCGAACGAAAACAAAACCTCATAATAGGTTTTACTTTGAAAGTAATACCTCTTAATAGGTTTTACTTTGAAAGTAAAACCTCACAAACCTCCCGAAACCTCCCGAAACCTTTCGAAACCTCCCGAACGAAAACAAAACCTCATAATAGGTTTTACTTTGAAAGTAATACCTCTTAATAGGTTTTACTTTGAAAGTAAAACCTCACAATAGGTTTTAATGCCTTTAGAAAGAACTCTCTTACTTAATAGAGATCCCAATGAATAGGTTTATAAAAAGGCTCCAAGGTGTATACTGGGGTGGACCATGCTTGTCCCGAGTCCTATGGCAGTGGGGGGCACGGGTGGCCCAGTCGGCCAAGGCGCCGCGATTCGCTGTGCCGAGTTGCGTCCCTTGGGTACGCCAGAAACCTATGATTGTGGGTTCGAATCCCGGTTCGCCCCGATTATGTTTCTAGGTTTGTCAGCACCATACCCGTGCTCGTGGGTTTCACCGAAGTGGTAAACGTCTGGGACCTGCATCACTTCGGGCTTTCCTCCCACATTAAGCTGACACGCCGTGATATAACTGGAATACTGTTAAAAGCGGCGTTAAACTCACTCACTCACTCACTATGGCAGTGAGTGAGTTGGGTTTTAACGCCGCTTTGAACAGTATTCCAGTTTCCAGGGCACGGGTTTGTTGCAGAGAACTACCTCAGTAAGTCAGTCACAGTAACAGCGCGTCGAAATACCTTTACCTGAAGTACGGGACGTCAAAATGAGCAAAAACGATAAAAGTAACGGGAGGGATTTCCGAACATGTTCGTAAACTTGTGGCGATTACAAATGTCATCATTAATTAATTGGTTAATCGTTGAAAGGTGATGATTCAGATAAAATAGATGCTGAGGTTAATGTATAGATTGCTCTGGACTTGTCAGTCTTGACACGGATCGAGTCCACAGTTTGGGTATGCATTTCTTCGTTAATTTGTTCACTAGGATGGGTCGTAGCGAGGAAATTCTTCAACGGGGTTTCAGACAAACTCTCTGACTTATCCCGGTGTATACTGACACGCTGAGTTCAATATTAAAGGGTCCAAATGATCAGAAACAACGTATATGCTTCTGTGTTTATTCGGTTTTCCCCGGGAATGTGGACGCAGTCCGTCAGTGTCACATTTCAAGACCATGGTCTTGTGACAAAATGTGTCGTTTATACACTTATGAACGTCAGCTTCGCGGACATGTGACCGACCTCTCGTCCAATGGAAAAGCAATATATCGCGTAAATTTCACATTAAAACATATTTTATGCTGCCCACAATGTGCAAACGCAGCATTACAAAAGGAAAACTTATTTATCAAAACTGGGCCAAACGTGTGATAACAAGTTCTTTACCTTTCTGTGAACAGATTAAGTATGCTTATGGTGTACATTTTTGTAGAGAAGAATTGAACAGACATTAGTTGTAATTTGTACAATTGTAATATCTATTGTGGATGTTTCAGGATTATATCATAAACGAAAAAGACAAACTTAGTTAAATGTAAGTTACAGTAGAGAACATGGGATAAAATGTTTGTTTACTTCACTGAAATATTTTACCATACCCACTGATCTGACTCAGTCTTACTTTCACATCACCGTCAGAGATTCAATCCCGGTTCGCCCCGATTATGTTTCTAGGTTTGTCAGCACCATACCCGTGCTCGTGGGTTCCACCGAAGTGCTAAACGTCTGTGACCTGCATCACTTCGGGCTTTCCTCCCAAATTAAGCTGACACTGCAGTGATATAACTGTAATACTGTTTAAAGCGGCGTTAAACCCAACTCACTCACTCACGCAGAGGTTCAGAAAATGGTATACTGTTCACAGATGAGTCCAGGTTTTATCTGGACAGTTCTGGTGGTCGTGCAAGGGCCTGCCGGTGTCCAGGAGAACGTTTCAGCGAAGCTTGTGCAAATTTTGGGGTGGACGTGTAATGTTTGTTTGTTGTTTAGCGTCACAATCCAGTCTGGACCATACAATCCAGTGATTGACATAACGTATACAGGACTACTAAATTGGGATAAGATGACTGCATCAACTAAGTCAGTGAGCCTGACCATTCGATCTCGTTAGTCGTCTCCTACGACAAGCATAGTAGCCTTCTATGACAATCATGGGTTGCTGAAGACCTATTCTATCCCGGATTTTCACGGGTTTGATTATATATATATATAGTCTGTAAATAATCGAGTCTGGACCAGACAATCTAGTGATTAATATCATGAGCATCGATCCACGCAATTGGGATCGATGACATGCTTCAACAAAGTCAGCGAGCCTGGCCACCCGATCCCGTTAGTCGCCTTTTACCACAAGCATAGTCGCCTTTTACGGCAAGCATGGGTTGCTGAAGACCTATTCTACCCCGGAATCTCCCCGGGTCTGATTATATATGTATATACATGTATAACAAACTTCTGGAATAAAGAATTCCATAACTGTTCGAATGATCAATCACACCTAAATGACCAGTATATTGTTTCCCAAGAAGCCAGGGGACAATTGTGTCGATGACTACATGTGTATTAAACCTACGTGCAACATATACCGTTGTCCCATGTTGCATTTCTAGAGGAGGGACATATCCGTTGGACGGCAACACTCGGTTGATGAAACACGGTCTTCAATGGTGTACAATCTACATCTTTTGTTGTCACCGCCTCCATGGTCTTGTGGTGGAGCGTCCGCCAGGATTGAGGAATGACTGGGGTTTGGTCTCCGGCCGCCTCATCCCAAAAGACGATAAAGGATGGTACTTCTTTATTGTCTTTTGTTGTCACCGCCTCCATGGTCTTGTGGTGGAGCGTCCGCCAGGATTGAGGAATGACTGGGGTTTGGTCCCCGGCCGCCTCATCCCAAAAGACGATAAAGGATTGTACTTCTTTATTGTCTTTTGTTGTCACCGCCTCCATGGTCTTGTGGTGGAGCGTCCGCCAGGAGTGAGGAATGACTGGGGTTCGATCCCGGGCTGCATCATCCCAGAAGACATTAAAAGATCGTACTTGTTGTTACTAACCAGGCGCTCAGCAATGAGGGAGTCAGTATACTGAGAATATGTGCAATAACCTTGGACGCCACGTTAAAACCCATTTCACCACATCAGTTTTGTGGGGATGCCGTTTTGTTGTAATTCACTACTATTCCGATGTCATTTTAATGTGACTTCACGATGTCCCGGTTTCGAAGGAGGAGCAGAAATCTAACTACTTCAAGACATTCCTTGAAACCGATAAAAAAATGTTGCACTTTAAAGCCCCATTGAAAGGAAACATCAGAAAGAATTATAATGTTTTTGAACTGATGCTCACTCATATAAATTTATCTATTAAGCCCATGTTTATTGAATTTATTAATAGTGTTTTTTAGAGCGAGTGTACGTTAAACAAGCATTTTCTGGAAGATATTATTGTTGATACAATCCCTTTGAATGCGCATCAATAAAAAACACTATTATGAAAAAAGTAATGCCATTTCAACAAAATGCAGCAATGTATTAAAGTAAAATGTCATATACTGAACCGCAAAAGAAACGTAAACCCAAGTAACATTGCATGAAAAGATATCTAGGTAATTTTTGTCAAAGTTTCTTCAATGTAACATTACCTTGTCCGGAATAATGAAATTTGATGATAACAAAGGAAAGCAGAGGACAATAAAACCAATAGCCCAAACGCATCACGGCAACCGGCCGTGGTCACCCAATGCACGTGAGTTCCGTGAAAATTGAAATGCACATGCGTTCCCCCATTTCTTGCCCTATAAAAATCAACCCAGATCGGAAAACATCAATTCGTTATTGAATTGCTACCACTTGCCACGATTGACAAGAAATCGGCGACATCAAGCCTTTGGACGATTGCCAGCTGGACAAACCGCCCGGCAAGTAGCCAATGCATTTCAAGTCCACGTAAGGACCATATACAGGCTCCAGCAACGGTACCAGACCACCATCATTCAAGATGACCGACGACGTAGTGGAAGACCAAGGGTCACCACCAGACGTCAGGATCGTCGGATTGCGCGACAGCATCTTCAAGATCGCTTTGTTACTGCTGCAGAAACTGCTCGAAAGACCATGGGGACACCCCACGACACATTAGTGCGGACAACGTGCGTCGACGATTGACAAGCAGACACCACCACTGTCACAGGCCACACGGAGCACCCATTCTGACACCACGTCATCGCCGGGACCGTCTTCCGTGGGCAACACAGCACCAGCATTGGCGTCCCCAGCAGTGGAGAAAAACCTCTTCTCAGACGAGAGCCGTTACTGTATCTCAACAGCAGATGGCAGAGACAGAGTATGTGGACGCCGTGGGGAATGTTATTCGGAGCTTGTGTTGTTGAGAGAGACTCGTGGGGTGGTCCGAGCATCATGGTGTGGGGTGGAATTGATCTTGCACAGAGGTTCGGCCCTGTGGTCTTCCAGAACATCGGTCCAGGGAGAGGCAATGATGTCACAGCAGCTCGATACATTGATCAACTTTTGAGACCACTCGCCACACCTCATTTGGCACGTCACCGCAATCACGAGTTTCAACATGATAACGCCCATGCCCACACTGCGAGAGCAACAAGAGACTTCCTCCAGCAGAATGGCATAAGAACCATGCAGTGGCCTGACCTCAGTCCCGAGTTAAATCCCATTGAGCACCCGTGGGACGAGATTCAAAGACGGCTGGATGACGTCCGACCAAGGCCGATAACTGCAGCTGAACTGCGTCAGGCGTTCCTCAGAGTGTGGGCTCAAGTGCCTATGGCCTTCATCAACTGCCTTATCCAGTCCATGTATTGACGTTGCACGGCAGTCATCAATGCACATGGCGGCCACACGAGATACTGACTTGTGATGCCATTTTCTAAGAGACTAGTCTTGTGTTTCCCTTTAAGAACATTGACACTTTTATTTTAACCTTGATGATCAGTTTTGCCAAGTTTCATCTTTTTAATATGTCTCAAGGTATGTTTACAGTGTTTGGACAAATAAGGTTTCTCATATATCCACCCATGGTAACGTTTCTTGTGCGGTTCAGTATACAACAAACCTATAAAACACACTGATTCATTCACACAAAGTTTCAACTATGAGCTTAATACACCTTACTTCCGAGTAAACCTTTTCAAAGTAAGATGCTTTCTTAAAAAAATAATATGTCCTAAGTTCTATTTCTTTTAATAGGTTTTATGAAAATCTAATGTCTGCAACATCGCCCACGGCATTGAAGTTGAATGCGCAGTGCGATAATGATACATAGATGAAGAGGAAAGTGTGCGTTTTCCTATTACTTTACCATTTCAGCTTACCAGACATTACGGTTGATGAAATTCGTTCTTGATAATACGAAAATAAACAAAACAGAATATATTCCCATTGACCCAGCTTATTCCAAAAATGTCACTGATCTGTTCTATGTTGAGAGGCACGTGGCAATTCATGTAGAAAGAAGAGTATAGTTTCAATTACCGGGTAAAGTTTGAGTGGAAATTGTTTGAGGACGACGAACTACGGAAGGCAAGGCAGAGACCCTTCAATCAGGTCACATACAATTGCGTTCAGACAAATTTGATATAATGTCTTTTGATCTCTAAGAGTTCTTGCCAATTTCTTACTTCTGAAGCTTTTTATGAAGATACAGTGACAGCCATCATTCGTTTCCTTGGATAAAGAATTCACGGGAAACAGGAAATGAAGAGGCTTTTTATTACGTCAGATAATGTGACACTTTCTTGAACGTCGCGAACTCTCTGTAGTTACCCTGAAAAGAAGCAAGTTTGGATGTGTTATGTGTTATGTGTTACAGAACAGCTTTTTAAATGGCCCCATTTACACGATTCAAATATTTGTACATATACACAAAGAAAAAAGTTAACACACCCCTGTTTCTTAACTGTTTCGATTTGATTGGACTATGCATAGACTCGTTAGTCTAGCCAAAATTTAACTCCATAATACCAGCCTAGTTCGGCAAGGGTGGAAACTGGACTTTTAAAGTCAGTTAACTTCCTTGCCTCGGGAAGATGCTACGTCTCATGCCTCCAGTCAGACGTTGGATCTATTGATGGGTCAAAAACAACCACTCCTGATGCGATGCTGCTTCCAATTGGTGTAATCATTGTACAGGAGGATCTCGTGCCTGTAGGCGCCGCCCAAGAATATCCCAAACATGTTCAAGGGGTTCAAACCTGGGCCTATTGCTGGCCAGGGTAGAGTCGTTATTGCATTGACCCTCCTGTAATCCAAGATTGCATGCAAACGATGAGGCATGGTATTGACATCTATGAACTGGGGTCGAGAAGCAAGAGGGTGGTTGTCAAAATGGGGAACGACGACTGGCTCACAACGTCCCGGATGTACTACACCCCTGTAAAGTTGCCCCTTATGGTGACCAAATCCAACCTGCAATCATGAGAGATACACCTCCAAACCAATATCGAGCCCCCGCCGTATTCAACAGTCGATTAAATGTTCCTGGGGGTGTAGGCCGTGTTCCGGTGCCTCTATACATGACGTGGAGCAGAAAGCAACTTTCGTCTGACCAATGGATCCCTCTCCATGTTCTCAGATTCCAGTTTAGTCGTGCAATACACCATGCTAAACGAGCAGATTTGTGTTGATCTCTCAACAAGGGACGCTTTATGACTCGTCTAGCCCTCAGTCCTGCTGCTTTCAGCCGGTTTCTGATGGTACCGGTGCTGAAACGACGATTGGGCAACCACAGCTGTTTCAGACGAGTACTTGTTAAAAAAGGTTCTCAGCGTATGAGATGTAGAAGGTCCCTGTCTTCGCGATGTGTCGTCACAGGAGGTCTTCTGGATCTGGGACGGTCCTGTACATCACAGGTCTGAGCATGTTTCTCGACTCAACGGCTTACGACAGTGTGATGATACCCCAAATTCCGACCAATGGCACTACAAGTCATTCCTGCGTTGTGCATGCCAATTATTTCTATCTTGTGGCGTCTGATAATCGCCCTCGTCCTATTGTCACACAATTTCATGGAATAATTGTTTAAAACCAAACTTAAGAAAGCAATTAAAAATTTTGATATAATGCTTTTAGAGATACTCGATACGCGATGGTTTCTTTACAATTCCTACCTTTAAAGAGTTTTCCACGGACCTCAACTTCGCAGACTGTGAGAATGGCTTTAGTTGGTGGTATGTAACGCAACAGCACAAATCGACCCGTTGTCAGTGGGTTGCAGGTCAGAACTTCAGGTCTTGATAATTGTCCTTTCTTTTGTGCACATGTCATCGTCTGAGAACTGTTGTTCTCCATGGGGTTTTCTTTATAAACTAGGATTTCCAGGTCACGAAATCTGAAAGCTGTTATTACAATACAATACTATATCATTATCAATATCAGAAGATAATACACTAAGGTCAAAACAAGATCAAACTTGACAATTTCATGAAAGAAACGAAACCCGTGTGTTACTAATTAATAATGGTCATAACTAATCTCTCGAACAATTGCTGTTCGAGCGGCAGTATAGAAAATCAGATGTTTACCTATTCAACATCAATATGTCATCATAGCTTTCGGCCATGGGAGCCGTGCCAATTAACACTTGTCAGAGGGGTACTCAAAGTACGTGATCTAGTCCAGTTGTCGGACTTTCATTTTTGTGGTAGCCTCGGTGGCTGAGTGGGTTAGATCGCTGACTTTGTGTGCTGGTGATTAGGTGCCTCACTCTGGCAAGTGTGGGTTCGAATCCCGGACGGGACTCAACCCCCCAAAAGTACGGTAATCTGTACTTTACTTTGAACGTGTTATCCCAAATAGAGAATCTGTTACATTTGACCACTTTCTAAATGGCATTGTGTATTGATTTTATGTCATCACAGTTGGGAGAAACACGTTATGGAATGGAGGACATGATGTTTAATGAACCTAAACGTAAAGAAACTGTGCACGGAGAAAATATAGATATAAGGGCACACCGTCCATAAAAATATAGGTTTGAACACAGCAATTATTGGAGACATTCAAACGCTCATGCACGTGCCATGCGATATGACGTCATTGATGGGGGCCTATGGACTTGCAATGTGTTACTGCACGTGCATCCTGTGCAGCTGTACACAGCATGTGCAACTCAAAATTCGCTGTCACTTTGGAAAGCATGATCTGTGGTCATTCAAAAATTCAAAACTTCTCAGGCACAGACACAAGCATATCACAAGCAAATCATGCCCAGATTGACAGCTGCACAGCGTCATGAAGCCGTTGGAATGATCCGAGCGGGAATGAGGCAACAACAGGTGGCAACACATTTCCAATGCCATCGTAACAGATATCGGCATTTGTGAGGCGTTATCAGAACACAAATGACGTTGCCGACCACCCACGTTCAGGACGTCCCCGAGTAACGACGCCAAGACAGGACAGATGGATTCGATTTACACATCTCCGACACAGGTTCCAAACGTCCCAGACAATTCCTGGACTGCGCCGTGTATCCATCCCAACACTGTCGGGAATTGTTTACGTCAGTACGGGATTCGACCACGACGCCCTGCCATACGTCCCATCCTGACACACCGTCATCGTGTCAACCGTCTAAGATTGTATCGAAATCATGTTCGCCAACCTCGAATATGGTGGAGAAATGTTGTCTTTACAGATGAATCGAGGTTAAACATTTCCCACAGTGACGGGCGCCAACGTGTCAACCGGCGTTTGGGAGAATGTTATGCATGCAACTGTATTGTGGAGAGGAATCGTTTTGGAGGTGGCTCTGTGATGATTTGGCGTGGGATAACAGCACGGCACTGAACCCCTTTGGTGGTTGTTCAGGGCAATCTCACTGGTGTTGGCTACAGAGATCAGATTCTGAGGCCTGTGGTCATTCCTTTCCTGCAACGTCATGGCCCGGGATTGACATTTCAACAGGACAACGCTCGTCCTCACACGTCTAGGGTCGCAATGGATTTCCTTCACCATAACAATGTCATGTTACTGCCATGGGCTGCAAATTCTCCAGATCTCTCCCCAATAGAGCATGTGTGGGATGAAATGGAGCGCCGTCTGCATTGTCTTCCACATCCTCCAGATAATGTCCGTGACTTGGCACAGGATTTGAGGAGGATATGGCAGGCCATTCCCCAGGCCTTCCATGCCCATTTGGTGGACTCCATGCGTCGCCGATGCACTGCTGTGATTCACGCACAGGGTGGTCATACCCGTTATTGACTTTGTGACTTTGTCGTTTGACCCCCTACTCCATTTTGATCTTCTGACGTCATCGTAACAGATGTTGTTCAGGTCCCGTTGACATTTTCTAATGGTCCGATCATTCAGCTGCTACAGCGTCTGCATCATTTTGTTCTTGCAGTGTTGTATTTCTATCCAGAATATATTTTCTCTGCGCACAGTTTCTTTATGTGGCTAGTATAATTTAAACAATGGAATAATAATAACTAAAAAACACACATTACAGTTCAATCAGAAATGTTGGAGTTATGTAAATACATTTTTTCGAAATGTCTCCAAAAGAACCTCTGTAACATTTTGGCATGTCATAATTGGTGGAGAAAAACATGCATATTTGAATTTCTTTGGTCTTGTGACTTCTGAGGAGATGATGTTTACATTGCAAGGAAAAGTATTTTGAGAGAATATAGGATTATGTGCAAAAAATAATGGAGAATTTGAGTCTTTCAATAACGACACAAAAGAAAGAGCGTTGTGGCTATACATTTACTTGTTTTCCAAATTTCCAAACCAAAATTCACCTCACCTTATTTACATAAATATTGTGATATAAACAAGAACATATCTTCCCTAACACCACTTGTTTTATTCTATATGTAATGTTTACTAAAGCGTGATACATAAATATGAATAGTTGTTTATTTCACGCACATACCGTAACCCTCCGTCCGTCTGTAAAGGGTGACGTTATAGATATCATAGATATCCTGCAAGTCAACCATCCACCAAGGTCTCGATTCAGCGGAGGTAAAACATTGATCTCTTATGCGTATGCCGTGCTTGTCACCATCAACCACATGGTTAGGATTGGAATACTGGTCCCAGTCTCTGCTTCCGTATGCTGGTTTCCTCAAAGCCAGATTGCTAACGTCTTGGTGACAAAATAATTATGAATAAATAATCAGAATGGAGTTTCCGAAAATGCCAATCCTGAGGAATGACATCTTACAGAAACAACGCTTACATTCAAGTTGTTTTAGTTTGACCAAGTGGGGTTTGTTAAACGTTGTCAACAGTATTTCAGTTTAACACAGGGTATCAGTTTGACTTGGGTCGAACGTAATGCATGGTATATGTCTGCGACAATTACCTCAGTGGTGAAACCCATGATCAGCCATACGTTGCCGATAAACCGGGAACACAATCAGGCCGAGTATGGAATCCAACCTAATGGTCTGCGGTGCACCTATAATCGCAGACCCGTGAAGATCCGGGGTAGAATAGGTCTTCAACAAACCATGCTTGCCTTAAAAGGCGACTTTGCTTGTCGTAAGAGGCAACTAAAGGGATCGGGTGGTCAGGCTCGCTGACTTGGTTGAAGCATGTCATCGATCCCAATTGCGTGGATCGTGCTCATGATATTGGACAATTACCTCAGTGGTGAAACCCATGTGCAGCCATACGTTGCCGATGAACCGGGACCTCAATCAGAACACATCTGGATATCCGACCCAATAATCTTCGGTCTGTGGAAGCTTAAGGGTCGTAGTTGGTTGGTTGGTTGGTTTGTTGTTTATCGCCACACTCAACAATATTCCAGCTATATGACGGCGGTTTGTAAATAACCAAGTCTGGACCAGACAATTCAGTGATTAATATCATGAGCATCGATCCACGCAATTGGGATCGATGACATGCCTCAACCAAGTCAGACCACCCGATCCCGTTAGTCGCCTTTTACGACAAGCAAAGTCGCCTTTTACGGCAAGCATGGGTTGCTAAAGATCCACATGTATTCTACCCCGGATCTTCGGGTCGTAAGTTTTCTGCCAACTGCCTGCCCTCCTTCCCCTTCCGATTCTTCTCTGCCCCCCCCCCCCCCCCCGCCCCCCCCCCCCCACACCCACCCCTACACACACAATACAAATACAAAGCGTGTACGTACAGAACAATCTGTTTCAGCAAACACATTTTACCTGTTTTCAGTGTTTTCATGGCTCTGTCGACCTTAGAGGAGATGTCTTGAAGCTTTGTCTCTGTTTCTTTTTGTCGCAACCCAAAGGACGTCAGCTCTGACTTCATCTCTGATACTGAAGGGGTATATATGCTGTGAGTTTATGCACCACGTTCTTATGTGAAACATAATGTTGATTCTGTCCTGCTGTGTTCAGTGAAGTTAGTACATATCTTACAATTAAGCCTTACAAAGTCGTGGACAATTGAACATGTTATCGATGTAGGATACGAACATATGAAGGTATAAAGTTTAATGTTTACACCGTTGACATTGGAGAATGAAAAGTCGGACACGTTTCTACAAATACATAACAAATGAGAATGTTAACATCATTTGGCAAAAGACATGTTTATTGCTATTTAAAAAATTGTTGCACATACTAATTTTTCATTTTGCATAACATTACGCCAAATTGAATCTACGGATAATCCAGACTAGCTATTCTCTAGCATTGACATTTTATATTTTATACCCTACTGAATGCTTCCAAAATAAAAGGTTGTTCTGTTTATTTCTGATACTTAAGAAGATATGGATAATCTCATCTTTCTTTCAATGTGAAATATATCAACACGAGACAATAAAAGCGTGTAATCTATTGGTGTGGAAAAGAAACGTGGGTGAGATTATCTGTATGATCCGAAAATAACGTTTTCATTTTGAAAACTAGGGGTACGTTTTCGCGACTTGATGAAAGGCGGCTGGTCATAAACTCCGGTCTCGGACAAAGAGTTGGTCGCTGCGACCTTGACCTCGGCGCGAAAACGACTTTCACCTTGACCGCAGCGCGAAATTCAAAACAACATGGCGGAAGGAGGAATAGGCAGCACTGGATTGGCTGCGTTGATAGACGCTATTGATGAGCCAAACCAGTTTTTGTTTGATTATTTATTAAGGCCACAATCTCGAAGAAGATCGTCTTTATTATCAAGTGCCTGTCTTCTTGAAATGCAGCCAGATGACCATCCTCATCATGAGGAGTATGTGGAAGTGATTGTCCCCCGATACTCAACTGATGATTTCCAATCTCACTTCAGGTTGCACAGGTCAAGCTTCGAACAGCTGTGTCAGAAATTACACCAAACAGATCCGAGTATTGTCAATACCTTATCTGGAGGTAATACGTCCCTGGAAAAGTCGACTATGACGGAAAGTATATTTCAAAACAATTACTCTCAACAGTGAACAACTTCCAAACTTTATCAAAACTATGAACTTATGAAACCTATGACACATTACTGATAACCATGGAAATAATAATTTAAACATACATGTAGTCAGTTCTTATATTATATTCAATGTATAGTGTATGATACAAAAGTATTTTGTACAAATGGTCAGTTGTAAGTTTAACAACAGGAATTGAATTGACAGGTTGGACTGAGCATGACACAGTATGCTAAATTGACAGGTAGAGTACAGCATGAAACAGCTTGCTAAATTGACAGGTAGAGTACAGCATAACACAGCATGCTAAATTGACAGGTTGAGTACAGCATGGCACAGCTTGCTAAATTGACAGGTTGAGTACAGCATGACACAGCATGCTAAATTGACAGATTGAGTATAGCATGACACAGCATGCTAAATTGACAGGTAGAGTATAGCATGACACAGCATGCTAAATTGACAGATTGAGTATAGCATGACACAGCATGCTAAATTGACAGGTTGAGTACAGCATGATACTTCATGCTAAATTGACAGATTGAGTATAGCATGACACAGCATGCTAAATTGACAGGTTGAGTTTAGCATGATACTTCATGCTAAATTGACAGGTTGGATACAGCATGATACTTCATGCCTAATTGACAGGTTGAGTACAGCATGACACAGCATGCTAAATTGACAGATTGAGTATAGCATGACACAGCATGCTAAATTGATAGATTGAGTATACCATGACACAGCATGCTAAATTGACAGGTTGAGTACAGCATGATACTTCATGCTAAATTGACAGATTGAGTATAGCATGACACAGCATGCTAAATTGACAGGTTGAGTTTAGCATGATACTTCATGCTAAATTGACAGGTTGGATACAGCATGATACTTCATGCCTAATTGACAGGTTGAGTACAGCATGACACAGCATGCTAAATTGACAGATTGAGTATAGCATGACACAGCATGCTAAATTGACAGATTGAGTATACCATGACACAGCATGCTAAATTGACAGGTTGATACAGCATGATACTTCATGCCTAATTGACAGGTTGAGTACAGCATGGCACAGCATGCTAAATTGAGAATAGCCTTACATTAAACTATAAACTGACTAGTTGATTACCATAATTACATGCACAATGTAAACCATGTTCATTAAAGACCAAAAATTATATGACTGGCATTTTATTTTGAATATGTTTGTATCGGATATCCCTGTCGAACTATTGGGTTCATTGGTGAAAGTTACAATCAAAACAGTTTTGAAAGATAATGAACAGCTGCAGGCATATTATTAGCAGCAAAATGTCTGACATACTTAATACCAGCCTTACATGTCATTCACAACGTTTTAACACTCACGGATAGTTCAGCTATGTAAAAGGTGAAAGCATTGTGAACAAAGTGTTCTGTGAAAACTTTCCATGTTTTCTGTAATAAACATGTGAATATTTTCTTTGTTGTTATAAGTAATTCACATATCGGGGTATCCTGAAGAAAACGACATGTGATGCAATCAGCATGATCAGGTAACCATGGTAACTAACATCCAAGTTATTTAACAGTGCAAATAATTGGAGGATGACAGCACATTTTACATCTAAGAATGTTAACATATCATGTTTTATGTTTAATTTTTCAAGACACCAATAAGTGCACACATGGCTTTCATGCGATCCTGATGCTGACCTACCAAAAGTGTTTTCAGGTGATCAAATCGAACCTGTTCCCTTTCCATTTCTAGTTGGAGATCCTCCTTTCTCTACTGATGAAGCAGCTCGGCAACAACTGTCAGCTTCCTCTTCTTTGCTTTAGCTTTTCCTGTAGATGGTGCTTCTTGGCAGTCAGCATCCTTGACCTGATTATCATTTGTGACAGCTTTTCTCAAAGGTGATGAGCTGTTTGATGTGATGTCAAAGTTCATCTGTTCAGATGCGCCACCAGGTACAGATGTGTCACTAAAGTACTCACGGAAATGAAAAACCTCAGATCTTAAATAAATGCAGTTAATATACAAAATAAGTAAATATTCAAACAACTAAATTAGTACCAATTGGGCCGTGGTACAACTACAGCGTATCAAATGTTTTTATGCCTTTTTACACGTAAAAGTGTGTAAAAATTCGAATGAAACAGACTATTGTAAAATAGGGCATAACCAGGTGTAAGTAGATCAAGGTGACCTATGACACCTTGACGACAGGTGAGAACAGGTGCATAATGCCTATAGTCTGTTTCTGCTATGTCAATTTTGACTTAGTTTTATTTTTGAATGTTGAAAGTGCCGAAAAATTACCTCCTGTAAAGTACATTTTATATTGTTCACTGAGACCAAACTAGCAAATCCAGACTAGTACTTTTCGAGTTGTTTTGTTATTTCGTATTTACGGCTACGTAACACTTTGTGTCGATTTTTAAATTGAGAAAAACAGTTTTTTTTATTTCCGTGAGTACTTTAAGTGCCACAGGACTTACAGTGTGTTTCTGTCCAATGATGGAATACAATTCATCGAAAGAATCTTGCTTCTTCTTCTTTCCTGCTCCTGTCTTGTTTTGAGAAAAATATAGTCTTTAAACGATCTCTCCAAGTTTCTCCATTTTTTGGGCACATCGTTCCCAAGCCTTTTCAGCTTTGTCTGAAATTAAGAATATGAGAGTGTGAGTGTGTGCCTGCAGTCAGTCAGATCTCAACTGTAGTCGGTTCTCATGACAAATATGAGCCACTGGAGACGTATTCTGACCTTGAAACCCCGAACCGTCAAAGGTATGAAATAGTGAAAATATTCAATTTATTTTACAGCAGAATTGTTGAAGCATGGAAAGAAAATTTCTCAGGATTCTAATTTTAAAAGAATACAATACTAAAAGGAGTTTAAAACAAACACTGTGTAGGTAGTGAGGCCACTGCGAGTTCCATGAACCGAACCTTTTCTTGGGTACACAGATGTTTTGGGGCAGCAGAGGTATTGAAATCAACCAGGACCTATAAGCCTGGTAGATAATTTTAGATTTTGGAGTACGTGGAAAATCAGTACATCATAGGGTAAATTGACATGTTTGCAAACTGTGTGGAATACTGTTAGATTCAAGGCAGATATTTCATATTTGTGTTTTATATAGTTTTAACGTGTGCAATGTTGATCTAGTAAAAAATATCATTGTCATTTTAGATCTATATTGTTTTACATTTTATATATTATGTTCCATTTTCAAATGATAGATCGACAGGACGTGTCTCTCGCTCTGTTTACAGAGAATACATCCAACATATGCTTTGCGTGTTGTGAACCTCATGTAACAAGTAGTGAATTGATAACATTCGATTTAGGACTAGATCTAATGATTATATGATATTCAGCCTGTGCGAGCCAAGCTATTTCCATTTAATGCTTTTGCGAGCGGTCCGTACTGACACTAGTGACAGCATTCAACACGAAGTGTCTTAATGTAACCTCACTTTGTTTTCTTAAATAAATTAACCCATTTAATTCACACACCCATGCTTGCGAGATATAATATAGGGCCTACAGATAGCAGACGACAGTCCCGCTCAAGCCCCGCCCCCAGACGACAACAAATACGATGCATTCCAACTTGTCCACCTTCCAAATTCTTGATAAAGTGAATATCCTTCTACACTCACCTTGTCTGCACCTCTGAACGACAGGGGGTACCAATAACTTGTATTTGATGCCAGATCCTTCTTCGGAAAGAGCTAGCGGCACAAGATGAAACGTCGTTGACGCCATAATGCTTGACTGACGACCGCGGCTGTGTGTTTTCATGACCAAACGACCGGGCGGTCACATGACCGCAACGCCAAAACGCTAAACCACGTTTCTGGTCATGACCATTTTTCTGGTCAAGCCCGCGAAAACGGCCCCTACAACAACCAGTGAACGGCTTAACAACTTCATTTGGAGAGAGATAAGTGATGTCATTTGATTGTGATGAAATGGTAGCTGACGTCACAATAGTCACAAAACATTTTTATGTAATCTAACTGTAGCAACATCTACCTTTTGGGAATCTTTAGTTCGAAAGTGGACAAATTACACTCCTAAACTCACTTCATCCACATTTCACTGTTCCACAAATAGGTAATAAACACCGGTATCATTGTCAACAGAGACGACATGATAATACGTATTTTGTGATCTATCGTTCTGTATCGATTCGCTGTGCACAGTTGCGTCCCTTGGGCACGCCAGAAACTTATGATTGTGGGTTCGAATCCCGGTTCGCCCCGATTATGTTTCTAGGTTTGTCAGCACCATACCCGTGCTCGTGGGTTTCACCGAAGTGGTAAACGTCTGAGACCTGCATCACTTCGGGCTTTCCTCCCACATTAAGCTGACACGTCGTGATATAACTGGAATAATGTTAAAAGCGGCGTTGTACCCAACTCACTCACAATTGTCACTGAACAGCCAAAAAGTGTAAACGTGGCAAGAACAACGAATCTATTTTAATCAATTTTAAAAGCAAAGCATTAAACAAATTGAGGATAAACATTTGTGCAGTATTCTGTTATCACCCTAAATGATACATAAGGTGACAATCTCATTAAGACCAGATCTTTTTCTCTGATACGATGCCTCTCTGGTTGAAGAACTCATCAACCCCCCTAAGGAGGTCACTTGAACCTTGATAAGCTTCTAAATTCTCAAATACGAGCGAGCCTAACGTCAATGTGAATTCAGCCTGGAGAATATATTACAACGGAATAACACCCCATCGTTTCCCTGCAACAAAAAAGTTGCATAATATGTTTGTTTTGTTGGGGTTTCCTGTTCTTAAGATCGTAATTCCCAAAACGAACCCACGCATCCTTCAAAATGCCTTACTGATAGCGTTACCAGTAAAGACAGGTGAGATATGTTTTCAAATTGACAAGTGCTAACCAAAGAATGTTCAGCTCCAAGATTGTAAACGACAAGGATGCATTTAGTACCGAGAATTGATTTCGATAAAGGCCCCAAAAGTTAAAACGACTATAAGACACAGTTTGGCTAATTCTTCTAAGATGCCGTATTGTGCACGGGAAGACCATTCAAGGATCCTGTCATCGTTACTTCCAGGATTGCCTGTGGATTCACTAAAATGTGACACTGAAGAATTCCTAACATACAAATGGCAATGATGGTACGTGGTTGACACGCTGTTCAAAGTGGCGTTAATCCCAATTCTACTCTGAGTTCGAGTATGACGAAAACGCTATGTGATGAATAGAGATATCAACGTCTTGAATGCCTGCATTGCATACTAAATTAAGGACATAAACATGGTCATAAGATCCAAACCTTGATATCTGACATTGGTCACTAAATTCGAACATTCCGCTTACATCGGATATTAAAATGAACTGATGTCTCACCACCAATCACTGTCGGTATGACTAAATTATCACAGAATCGAAAACAGTATGTTCATTACAACGGCATACCAATGTGACCCGTGAAGATCCGGGGTAGAATAGGTCTTCAGCAATCCATGCTTGCCGTAAAAGGCGACCATGCTTGTCGTAAAAGGCGACTAACGGGATCGGGTGATCGGGGTTGGAACAACATAATGGCGCGGTAATCAAATTCGTTTTCGAGATACGGAAATATAATATGCTAATCTGGCCTTGTCTTCGTAGCGAGAATTGGTAAGCTTTGACGCTGATTACGTGTGTACCTTCCTCTCCCTTGGTGCAGGATTTAAGACTTTTCATCTGCTCCAAGATCTTTTCCAACTTCTCATCGGTTTCGTCTTGTCGGGATTTCACAGAAGCAAGGTCTGACTTGACCTCGGAAACTGGAAACACAGATTCCGTGCAAATGAGCATGTTTGCCTTTACATGAAATAAATATAATTCAATGCAATATTCGACAGAGGCGTTTTTACTGATAGCTGAAATGTCGGCATGATTATCCCATTGTATAAGTAAGGGTATATTTGTAATCCAATATTCATTTATATTCATATTTATACTGTGGTACTCTTTTGTTAAATAGGGGTCGGGTAGCCTAGTGGTTAATATGGGTTTACACTCTTCAATTTATCTTTAAGCGACATTTTTTATGTTAATAAAATAGTATATATCAATGAAAACGACAGCCACGTTCGTTTACTGCTTTTGGAAACATGATTTTCATCTGTTTGGATCGCACATGATTGTTGAAATATATAAAATTTTATGAAATGTTTAAACAAAGATGTAACCTAAGGAGAAACTATGCTGATCTTATAAAATGTGTGATTGAAATATCTTAAGTAACCTTTGTTTTATTAAAGAGACGAAATTACTGGCCCTTACTCAGAACTCAAGGAATGCTTCTACATGAGTTTATTTTTTACAATATAATGAATTAAAATTTGTAAAAACTGAAAAAAAAAAAATTTCGCATAATACACAGGTGCTGATGGATATCTTAAACATCCTATCTTGAAAATCACTCAATTTGCCTTTTTTTCGGCCCAAACTTAAAACAAATATTGTTTGGGTCATGTGGTTCGAAATTTATTTCTTAGCACAGTTGAATCAATTTATTTGTACACAGAAATACCCAGCCACAGATTACTATTTACAATCTGTTGCAGGAATGAGCTATGGTCAAAGAGCAAAAGTTCTTCCAATCTTAAATTACATGAAAAACAAACTCGGAACACTTTCTTTTGTTGTTCAGTTTAATTATTTTTTCATAATTTCCATATCACTATTTTCTGACCCTGGGTTTTATTTTTACATCTACATATCATTCATTACTCGAACCAGAGATCTACAGTTTGGAGTTGTGCCAAAATAAACATCTGGCCGCAAATGATGTAAAATTCCGAGTTATAATGAAAAAATAATACAGATTTACTTGAGTGCAAATAAACGTAATTATGACACAGTTCCTTTTAGTTTAACCAATTTGTACATTAGTACATTTGTAATCGACATCCTTAGTTACTATTCAGTGCATCCATCACGAACAAAATCCAATCAGCAATGAACAACAAAGAATATTAAGCTCATAAAAATATTGCTGCATATTTGAAAAGAAATTTGCCTGTTCGTGTGACGTACATATTTGAGTATTGCGATAGTATAACATTCGCCCAACTGTCTAGATACCAAAACGTTGTCTTATTTATTGTTCTCTTGACATATGCCCGTTGATACCGAATAAACGTAATTTTCGTATGACACCTATTTCTTACAAATCAACTGACAACCCGTGAAGATTCCAGGGTAGAATAGGTCTTCAGCAACCCATGCTTGCCGTAAAAGGTGACTATGCTTGTCGTAAAAGGCGACTAACGGGATCGGGTGGTCAGGCTCGCTGACTTGGTTGAGGCATGTCATCGATCCCAATTGCGCGGATCGATGCTCATAATATTACTCACTGGATTGTCTGGTCCAGACTCGATTATTTACAGACCGCCGTCATATAGCTGGAATATTGCTGAGTGCGGCGTTAAACAACAAACCAACCAACCAACCAAATCACCTGACGTCAAACCACATGTTCGTTATGTATTGCATCATTTGGCGTTAGTTGATCATCAACTTGGCCGTTAATAACAAAATGGCATATTTATTAGTTTTTTACATGGCACGTAAACTGTGAGAATCTTTCTGTACCAGTATGCTTCCTGCATCAACATTTAAAGCCCAGACCTACCTTCTAGGCTTGTTTAATGCATCATTCACCAGATCAATCCCTAAACATGAAGGTGAGGTGAAATGGGGTTTAACGTCGCGTCCAAGATTATTGCACTTATATAGCGACGTGCATGCATGTGTTTGTATGTGTGGCTGCTTGTACTAGTCAGGACTAATGCCGATTTATAGTGCTAGCTCACTGAGATACCATGCCGCAGTTTAACATGAATACCCCGCTCAGACAGAGTGTACCGACTCCGAGCCCACCAGTCTTTGTTGTAGCCCCTTATTCAACATGAAGGGAGTGTATAATGTATAGCAGCATATAACTGCCACATACAATTTAACATTTCAACTATTCATCGAATTGGATTGTTTATGCTTGGTTCGCAAGATGTGCAAAGTCCTTCACATACTACTTGTCTTTGTAAGGTTATGTGATGCTACGGGTTACACACGATAAAGTGGGTCTTGTCTTTAATAAAACTAATCTTAAACAACAACTAATTGTTCAACGGAAGTTTAAAATAGGTAACATATTTAAAATTACAGATTACAAAGAAATATAGACGAGTAACATTGATTGGTGTTATTGATTAATAGTTCTGAGACAGTGTTTCAATAACCATTATCGGTCAGTTGGAGGGGTCTGAAATGCATCCTCTAGTTTCACAAGTTCACGTGACTAACGGATTACACAACACAACATACTGATATTTAGAAAAATTCTATCTGCGAGTGAGTCGATTCGGCAAAAATCGTAGCAATGAAACTCCAAAATATTTTGTTTGAAAAGAAACAACTTGTTAGTTTGTTGTGAGATGAAATGTGGTTTAGAGATCGGGATGTTTTCACTTATACAGCGACGAGCGAAAAACAAATATTTTACACATAATTTCAGTTTTTTTGTTTTTTTTTCAGGGTTGCCAAAAGACCAATTTCTTTATGATATTTTCAAATTATGTGCCCGCATACTTTGGTAAGAGACCCTACAGAATAATTGTATTGCTTCTTATTGACATTCCATTTGCAACTGCAAAGTGCAAACTAATGCCAACTATTCCTGGCGATAAGCCATGCATTTAGGAATTTATTTAGAATAGTGAATGAGTGAGTTTGGCTTTACGCCGCTTTTAACAGTATTCCAGTTATATCACGACGTGTCAGCTTAATGAGGGAGGAAAGGCCGAAGTGATGCAGGTCTTAGACGTTTACCACTTCGGTGAAACCCACGAGCACGGGTATTTTGCTGACAAACCTAGAAATATAATCGTGGCGAACCGGGATTCGAACCCACAATCATAGGTTTCTTGCGTGCCCAAGGGATTTTTTAGAATAGATTTCCAATTACTCAAAATCAAATTGCAGCCCTGTTAGTGAAACTGGTTGTACGAACTCTACAGAAATTGTTTGCTCACTCTTCACTATAAAAATTAATCCTAACATTCTTTGTTCAGTATATATACGGAGGGATCGCTTGGTATGTGGTTTATAGTAGATTCGTTGCTGTCCGAGACTAAGGTGAGGTGAGGTGAAATCGGGTTTAACGCCGCGTCCAAGATTATTGCACTTATATAGCGACGTGCATGCACGTGTGTGTGTGTGGGTGCTTGTACTAGTCCGGACTGATGCCGATTTATAGTGCTAGCTCACTGAGATACCATGCCGCAGTTTTAACATGAATACCCCACTCAGACACAGTATACTGACTCCGAGCCGACCAGTCCTTGTTTAAGCCCCTTAATGCCGAGCGCCAGACAGGGTAACAACAAGTACCATCTTTTAACGTCTTTTGATATGACGCGGTCGGGGACCGAACCCCGGAACTTCGCTCTCCGGGCGGACGCTCTACCACTAGACCACGGCGGCGGTCCGAGAGTAAGAGGAAAAGGCGAGTATACACGAATGTAAGGGATTTGTTACCTTCTGTGTTGGAGTTGATTCGTCCAAGTGAACTGAATTGAGGCACAGGGAAGTATGAGGCTTTTATTCCCGCCTCAAACCCAGAAGCCACAGAAATGGTCCCAAGAATAAAAATACTGATCATTATTGCCCAAATACTTCCGAAGAATGAAGTCAGATCAAGCGTTACCTCAAACTATATACGTGTATTACCGATCGTAATCTGAGTGTTGTACACAATTTCAGTGTACAAAACTACGAAAGCGCATTAGGACCATATTGGTATTTTGTTTTTTTCTCTTTTAAAAGTTGTTATTACGAGCATAAAGTCGTAATTACGACTTTTCAAAACTCGTAATTACGACGTTTTCCTTCGTAATTACGAGTTTTGAAAAGTCGTAATTACGACTTTATTCTCGTAATAACAACTTTTAAAAGAGAAAAAAACTTAATACCAATATGGTCCTAATGGGCTTTCGTACAAAGCCTTCGTGCACAGGAAGGCAATGTTTTGCCTTTCTCTCGTGGGAGGCTTCAATCATGTGTATTTGGCATACTGAACACAATGAAGTCAAAACATGCCTTTTGAAAAGCAACACAAATGAAACCCGTTGCTGTTGTAGGGTGCTAATAAAAGAGAAAAGCCTGATATTTTCAGATTGAACTCATTTTCAGTTGAGCTAATTCACAGCCTGCATGTCCGTCCCTTTCGTCTGTTAAAATCTTCCGACTCAGAAACTTATTTCACTATCAAAATCAATATATTTCTCAGTGCAAGCAGTTTATAAATTGACGTCCAAAAGAAACTTTACCAGAGTTTGAAACTTTTGCTCAAAAACAACAAAACATACATGCATGAAGTAAAGTGTATTGAGAAGATCAATATATCAACATAATCAACACTGAGAATGACGTCAGAGCCCCCCAAAGTTAGGTGTGGTACAAAACTCGAGCTTTCAGAATCATGGACACTAGGCAGAGTACATAAGCAATCGCTCACTTTCAATAACAAGTCATTAGTAGCGTGTGTGACCACCAAATGGTTCAATACACGCAAAAACTCTTCGACGCACAGAAAAAGTCAGTCGTCGGATGAGGTCACGTGGGATTTGACGCCATTCTTCTTGGAGGGCCAAGATCAGTTCTTGCCGGTTGGCTGGAGAGTGTGGTCGTTGTCGAACACGACAATCCATCAAGTCCCAGAGGTGTTCTATAGGGGACATGTCGGGTGAGCGTGCAGGCCATGGCAGGACGTTGACGTTGTTGGCTGCGAGGAAGTTAGTGACAATTCTGGGTGTATTGGCTTTAGCGTTGTCATGCTGATAAATGACACCACGTGGCTGCTTTTGGGGAAATGGTAGGACAACTGGACGTAGAATGTTATCCATGTAACGCTGAGCTGTCAGGTTTCCGTCAACGATGACCAGCGGTGTCCTCTCCTACCCACAGATCCCTCCCCACACCATGACACTCCCTCCACCATACGGTACGACCTCCTGCACGCAACACGCCGCCGTTCGTTCACCCCTTCGGCGGTAAACACGTTGTCTTCCATCAGCCCTAAACATACAGAATCGACTTTCGTCAGTGAAGACAACCCTCTGCCTTTCACGTCGTTGCCAACGTCGTACAGTCCGGGCCCATCTCAATCGCAGACGACGATGTTGCGTTGTCAGTAGCTGTCCTCTGTATGGTCTAAAAGCCCTGATTCCATGAGCCCTTAGTCTCCTGGCCACTGTCTGTCGACTAACCCTGTGACCTAAGGCATTTGTCGCCGATGACGTCACTGTCAGGAAGCGATTTCGGATGTGCAAGGTACGCAAGTACCGGTCATCATGGGACGTGGTCACGCTGGGTCTGCCTGTTCTTGGCCTGTCAGCGGTCCGCCCTGTCTGTCTGTAACGTTGCATCAAGTTGGTAACGGCAACACGAGAGCAACCGAAGGTTCGTGCAATATGGGCGTTGGTGGCTCCCATCTGTACCATACCCAAGGCTCGTTCAGGTTGTTCGACTGTGAGTCGTGGCATTTCTTTTGTGTTTTGTTTATCACTGTGGATGTCTGACTTGCCGTTGCAATCGTTTTATACCCTTACGAACATTTGCAGTTGTCCGTGGTGCACGTGTTTTTCACTTTTTCGCGTGTTACAGTGTATCTCGCAAACATGTAACACACGATTAACATTTTCTGCATACACTATTGTTGTATTTAGGTTATGTGTTTAGATAGACTTCATCGAAAAAAAATATACTTTGTCTGAAATTTATATTTTCAGTTGGTAAAGTTTCTTTTGGACGTCAGTTTATAATACATAATTATACATGATCGTAATTCACATTACAAATGCGTATGAACAAAATACAGCATACTGCTAACCTCTCGGCAAGATCCTGTACCAAGTGATTGCATTACATAATGTTTAAATCTTGTAACGCAAAAAATAGCAGGTACAAGATTGTAACGAGGTCAACTCACCGAGTTCGTTCGAGGCCGAATTCAACAATGCCCACTGTAAATGCCCCTAGGAAAATATACACTCCTTTCAATCCCATACATGTAGCTACACAATGAGACATAGATGAAGACAATCGAAGCCGTTCTAGTGTTATACGGCATTTCCGTTATATGGTAACTGTTATACAGTGGACAACAGTGGACAAACAGAAAATGTTTTTCATCTTCCACAAAGGAGATATCTGCTGTAGAATGACAGAATGACTCAGAAACTACTACCAATAGGGGGCACGGGTGGTCCAGTCGTCTAAGGCGCCGCGATTCGCTGTGCAGAGTTGCGTCCCTTGGACACGCCAGAAAAGTAAGATTGTGGGTTCGAATCCCGGTTCGCCCCGATTATGTTTCTAGGTTTGTCAGCACCGTACCCGTGCTCGTGGGTTTCACCGAAGTGGTAAACGTCTGAGACTTGCATCACTTCGGGCTTTCCTCCCACATTAAGCTGACACGCCGTGATATAACTGGAATACTGTTAAAAGCGGCGTTAAACCCAACTCACTCACTCACTAACTCACTCACTCACTGGACCAGTAAGGCTGAAGTTAGTTGAACATATAAGCAAGAAGGCTGAAGGTGGTTCAAGTCAAGAACATTCTGGTGATATCAAGCATTCCAGAATTCTGACCCCTTGTTTGATCGAAAACAGTCAACTGTTAAAAAATAGCTATGAAGTGAAAGCTTGACCTTAAAGAGGTTGCATAAAAAAACCCAAAAAATTTAAGAAATGGATATATTTGGTATCATTTTGTAGGAAAATATGTCCTGAATCAAATTACGCAACAAAAAAACCAAGACACCACGGCATTTTTTGAATAAGTGGCGCCATCTAGAGGCACCGGATGATAAACATGGTCATTTTAAAGTTTGATTAATATATGTGTTTTCAAATAGACATATTACAGTATTGATATGACACAAAACAGAAAAATGAAAATTCAAGTCAAAACATTTTTAATTTCACACATCATTTGACTTACAAAAAGCACATTTTCCAAAAGAATTGATTCATCAGTCAAAAAAGCATGTTACAAAATCAAGATATTTTTCAAACTGGCTTATTTCTAATGTATATTCATTGTAAAATAAAATTATAAAATAAAAACATAATGTTACCAGAGGATATTCAAATTATTTTCAATCAACACAGCATGCCCCTAAAATAATGAATCAGGGGAAGTAACTCTTGCCCAAATTTACATTTCTATGAGTTCTTATGTAATTAGCCGCGAGTCAAAGGGACGTAACCGCATTACAAATACTCGCCGTTACATGCGCGTACGGTATGCGCATGAACAATGGTATCCAACGTCTTTAATTGGATCTAAGATAAAAATGTATTGGGTAAGACAAAGGAAAAGTCAGCGGACTTTAGAAATCTAGTTACTGATCATGATGGTTGTGTACACATAGATGCATGTAGTGCTAGGTGGCTTAACTCCTGATCATCTGTTGTATTTGGACGACGTGCTAGTCAATGGCCCAACAACCGATGAACATTTGAATAATCTGAGACAGATATTGACAAATTTGCATCCACCGGTGTAAGATGCCAGACAAATGTTTCTTCTTCATGGAAAGTGTCCAACATCTAGGTTATGACATTTCTGCCTCATGTGTTAGTCCAGGTAAGAAAGGTTTAGAAGCAATCATGCAGTTTCCGGTTCCGAAGTTCGTTCGTACGTAGGTAGGTCTTGCAAAGTAATTTCAGAGGTTTATTCCAACTTTTTCAGAGATTATTATGCCATATTGTTGAACAGCAGGTCTACTGTTGGCAGTCGCCACATCATGAACCAATTGATTGGCTCAAGCTGATCTTGGCGTCTAACTCTATTTTAAAACATCCTGATTTCAGTGCAGAGGCGTCGCAATTCGTTATACAAACTGATGCCAGTGAGATAGGCTTAGCAGGAGAGCTTTTGTATGATTGCAATCCCATCAGTTATGCTTCAAAGAAACTGTCCAGAACTGAACGCAATTATTCCACTATCCACCGAGAAGCACTGGCGATAATTTTGGATGTTAGAAAATTTCGACCCTTTGTGTTCGGGAAGAGTTTTCGTTTGAGAACTGATCATAAACCAATAACATACCTTTTGAAATAAAAATCCGAGAAATTCGCCAGAAGGAGTTTAGAACTTTCTGAATACTTCTTTGACATTGATCACATCCCAGGGAATGAAAACGTTCTAAGTGATGTTTTGAGTCGTATGCCTGTTGATGACGCCAGTGAAATGCCTGCATTTGCTGTGACTAGGGGTCAAGGTAAACGACGTGATATTATTCTGAAAGCTTGTGAACTGGGTCACCTTGGTGTAAAATGAACATGGCAATTAGCACAGAAAGTTGATTCTTGAATTACTCAACGTGAGGTAGCTGAAATAGTGGAGAAATGTACTGTGTGTATAGGGGGTCCACATGCTATACCTACATCTCCTTCAGGTGTTACTATTCCGGGGTAGAATAGGTCTTCAGCAACCCATGCTTGCCGTAAAAAGGTGACTATGCTTGTCGTAAAAAGCGACTAACGGGATCGGGTGGTCAGGCTCGCTGACTTGGTTGATGCATGTCATCGATCCCAATTGGATCGATGCTCATGATATCAACCACTGGATTGTCTGGTCCAGACTCGATTATTTACAGACCGCCGTCATA